GGCCTTTCATTATTCTTGAACCTCCTGTTCTTGCTCTCCTCTCTTCCCCTCCCTTTCACAATCTTCTATCCTTCTTCAGTGGAGACGGCCGTTGAGAATCTGGTGATCTATCGGCTCAGGCGCGGCTGGGTACACAGCCTTCCAATTTCTTAACCTCTTTGGCTTGCCCTTTTCTCTACCCTTCCCTCTCACAATCCACTCACCACCCTCAGTGGAGACTACCGTTGAAAATCTGGTGATTATCGGGTCAGGCCCGGCCGGGTACACCGCCGCGATCTACGCTGCGCGGGCGAATCTGAAGCCAGTGCTGTTCGAGGGCGTGCAGGCCGGCGGAGTTCCCGGAGGGCAGCTCATGACCACCACGGAGGTCGAGAACTTCCCGGGATTCCCGGAGGGAATTACGGGCCCCGATCTTATGATCAGGTGCGTGGTTCTCGAGGAAGTTCGAAAGAGGCGACTGCTGAATCGACTTGGAAGTTGCCGCGAAAGCGAACACAGCAAGCGAGAAATGCTGAAACGCACAAAATACACACTTTCCTGGTCCATTCAGAATTCGTAGAAGTGCGGAGACGCGGAAAATAGGAATTTCCATTCGCGTCTCTTCACGGTCCGTATTCCATACCTTCATCCCCCCCACCGCATCCCCCGGCTTCCCCCTTTCTCCGTCACCGCGCTATTCCCCCAGATGAAGCAGGAGGCGGAGCGGTGGGGAGCGGAGCTGCACACAGCAAGCCTGCTTCATTCCCCATATATTGAACACCAACACCCCCCACTTTCGCCCCTCCTCTCTTCCTCCCCCTTCCCAAATGCCCCATGCGCGCAGAATGAAGCAGCAGGCGGAGCGGTGGGGAGCGGAGTTACACACCGAAGACGTGGAATACGTCGATCTGCAGACCCGCCCCTTCACAGTGCGCAGCAGCGACCGCGAGGTGCGCGCCCACAGCGTCATCATCGCCACGGGCGCCACTGCGCGCCGATTGGGCCTGCCCAGCGAGAGAGAGTACTGGTCGCGAGGCATCTCCGCGTGCGCGATCTGCGACGGCGCGAGCCCAATTTTCAAGGGGCAGGAGCTGGCGGTGGTGGGAGGAGGAGATACGGCAGTGGAAGAGGCGCTGTACTTAACTAAGTACGCTAAGCACGTGCATCTGCTGGTGCGGAGGGACATTCTTAGGGCCAGCAAGGCGATGCAGGATCGGGTGTTTAAAAACCCGAACGTGACTGTTCACCTGAACACGATCCCTGTAGATGTGGTGGGGAACGACAAGGGGCAGATGGCGGGTTTGAACGTGAAAGACGCGCAGACGGGGCAGGAGAGGATTATTCCGGTGAAGGGGCTGTTCTATGGGATCGGGCACAAGCCGAATAGCGATCTGCTGGCGGGGCAGGTGGAGCTGGATGGGAGCGGGTACGTGGTCGTGAAGGACAACGCGGTTGAGACTTCTGTTCCCGGCGTGTTCGCTGCTGGCGACCTCAAGGTGAGCCTCCTCGTGGTCGCATTGCAAGCCCCTTTGCCTCGTGGGTACTGCAGGTGGGGATAGGGTGCGTGGCCCCAGCTCGGGGCAGGTGGAGCTGGATGGGAGCGGGTATGTGGTGGTGAAGGATAAGGTTGAGACGTCTGTTCCCGGCGTGTTCGCTGCTGGCGACCTCAAGGTGAGCCTCCCCTTGGTCTTCTTGCCCCTCCTCAGTCTTGGTCCCTACCACAGCCACTAGGGTACTCCAGGTGGGGCTAGGGTGCTTGGCCTGGGCTCGGGGCAGGTGGGAGCTGGATGGGACTGGGTATGATGTGGTGGTGGCATGACCTGTTTTTTTTTTTCTTCTTCTTCTTTTGGACATGTTTGATTCAGGATGTTAGTCCTCTCTTTTCGCTCATCCTCTGCTCTTTTTTGTTCCCCCCTCCCCCCCTCTTTCGCCTCCCCATCAACCTCTCTCACCTATCAACAGGACCACGAGTGGAGGCAGGCCATCACAGCAGCAGCATCGGGGTGCATGGCAGCGCTGTCAGTGGAGCGATACCTCACATCCAACGACCTGCTCATCGAGTTCCACCAGGTACGGCTCATTAAGTGCCGGATGTGCTGAACACAGCATTACGAGCGACTGTAGCATTGAAGGCAGTAGCAGCAGCAGGCAGGGTCGGGGTGCCCTGAGTGGTAGATGTGCTCAACACACCACTACGAGTGACTGTAGCAAGGACAGCAGCACGAGCTGCAGCGCCGCGGTGCATGGCAGCGCTGTCAGTGGAGCGGATCGCACGGCCTCGTGCTAATTGCGTTCCACCATGTACGGCCTTGCGTAGATGTGCTGAAAATGGCACTAGGACTGTAGGATCAGAACCAGCAGCAGCGCCAGTAGCAGCGTCATCAGCAACCTCCCTATCATTCAGCCCTCTCCTCATGACATCCCCCTTAACGTTGCAGGGGGTTTTCGAGAATTCTCAAAAACTCCCTCTCCTCATTATATCCCCCTTATCATGCCTGCCTCCCTGTGTCTGCGTACCCTTGTTGCGAGCAGCAGGAGGTGGAGGTGGTGGAGAAGAAGGAGCTGACGGAGGAGGACGTGGAGGAGAAGTTCGACCCATCTGTATCCCTCTAACACCCACCATTACCCCCCTGTTCCCCTTTGGGTCTGTCTATGTGCGGTCTTGTTGCGAGCAGAAGGAGGTGGAGGTGGTGGAGAAGAAGGAGCTCACAGAGGAGGACGTGGAGGAGCGGTTCGACCCGCTGCTGACGCGTCACAAGGGCCAGTATGCGCTCCGCAAGCTCTACCACGAGTCGTCACGCCTCATTGGAGTCATCTACACGTCCCCGACTTGCGGGCCCTGCAGGACGCTCAAGCCCATGCTCGCTAAGGTATGCGCGGGTAGAGTAGAGTAGATTTTCGGCCAGTTTTCCTCATTGCTCACAAGACAAAATGGTCAGTAAGGTATGCGCTTGCTTTTGTGGTGGAATTTTTCGACTGTCGGATTCGCTGGGTGGAAATTGACATCGAGGAGGACCCTGAGATTGTTGCTAACTTGCATTGCCCCATTGCTTGACTCCTGTTGACTTGCGTTGACTCACAGGTGGTGGAGGAATTCGACCGTCAGATCCACTGGGTGGAGATTGACATCGAGGAGGACCCTGAGATTGCCGAGGCCGCAGGGATCATGGGCACTCCTGTCGTTCACTTCTTCAAGAACAAGGAGAAGATCGAGTGAGTGCTTTTCTGCCTGTACATAGCCTTGTCTGCTGAGTGAGTAGTCTGGTCTGCTGTGGCTTAATGCTCTGAGACAACTCACAGTTGCAGCAGGGATCATGGTCACACCTGTGGTGCACACTTCTTCAAGAACAAGGAGAAGATTGAGTGAGTGGATGGTTGATGGTTCAATCCGCTGACTGGCTTGACTGGCTTGAGACCCCCTAAGTTACTGAACTGCGGCTGGGATCATGGGCATGCTGCCTGCCGTGCATTTCTTCAAGAACAAGGTAGGTCGTTCCCGTCCCATCCCTCCCCCTTGCTTGCCTGCCCATCCCATCCCTCCCCCTTGCTTGCCTGCCCATCCCATCCCTCCCCCTTGCTTGCCTGCCCATCCCATCCCTCCCCCTTGCTTGCCTGCCCATCCCATCCCTCCCCCTTCTCCAGTGAATCAAGGGTGTGAAGACTAAGGGAGTCTACCGCGAATTTATTGCGGCACATAAGTAGAGTGTTACTATACAGCATGCATGTCTCTCACCATCCTTTTGAGGCGCCTCAAAAGGAATCGATCGCAGCACATCAGTCGAGCGTTACTGTACAGCATGCATGTCTCTCACCATCCCCTCTTCCCGTCTTTGCCACTCCCTTTTCCCTGCCTGCCTGCCGGCTCCCCTCCCCCTTTTCCACCTCTCCGCCGCTCTCCAGTGAGATCAAGGGTGTCACAATGAAGAGAGTGTGCCGGGAAATTATCGAGGCACATAAGTAGAGCACTACTAGGCAGCATGCATGTCCCTCACCATCCTCCTTCCCGCTTGCCCCCCCCCTTTTACCTGCTTGCCTGTCCCTCGCTCCCCTCTCCAGTGAGATCAAGGGTGTGAAGATGAAGAGAGTGTATCGGGAATTCATCGACACATAAGTAGAGTGTTACTAGACAACACACATGTTTCTCACCGCCCCCACTTCCCCTCTTACCCACTCCTTTTTCCCCCCTTGCCCCCCACCTTTTTCCCCCCTCGCTCCCCTCTTCAGTGAGATCAAGGGTGTGAAGATGAAGAGAGTGTATCGGGAATTCATCGAGACACATAAGTAACTCGCTGCTGCCAAACTGGAAGGGAAAACGCTGGCCACCTAGTGCACATATGTACATGTGCAAGCGCAGGAGAGAACTCCCTAGTGAGAATTAGATGGTACTAGGCCGGAGAAAGAGCAGTGCATGTCAACCCACTCCCAACCACCCAACCCTTCCCAATCGATTCCAACCGCTTTCAAACCATTCCAACCATCTCAACCATCGCATTCCATCCAATCCGTTCTTACCTCTCCTTACCGAGCCCAGCCCATCCCATCCCAGCACAGCATCAAGCTGTACTGCGATGCATCCATATGCCTAGCAAGTTGTGTGGTGTAACTAATATTGTTCTTGAGTGCCTGAAAGTATACGTGTGCTGTACAATATGGTATGTTTCACTGCAGAGACACTGTGTACAAGGACCAGTGTGCATTAACCATGGCAACTTCCCTACCACTCACTATATTATCCTTTTGCATCAACGACAAAAAATGAAATGAATGATGGCATGCCATAGAGGATATACCTGCCACTGCAACCTAAGCCACGAGCTAATAGAAGTCCACTGCTCTCATATTACTCTCTAAGCCACGAGCAGGAAGTGGGGAAAGGAGGGGGGGCAGGGGGGGAAAGGACGGCAAGCAAGGGGGGAAAGGAGAGGGAGCAGGGAGGGAAAAGAGGGAGCAGGGAGGGAAAGGAGGGGACGCAAGCGGGCAAAGGAGGGGAAGCAGGGAATTAAAGGAGGGGAAGCAGGGAATTAAAGGAGGGGAAGCAAGGGGGGAAAGGAGGAGAAGGAAGGGGGGAAAGGAGAAGGAAGGGGGGAAAGGAGGGCAATCAGGGGAGGAAAGGAGGGGAAGCAGGAGTGGAAAGGAGGGGAAGCAGGGGGGGAAAGGAGGGGAAGCAAGGGAGGAAAGGAGGCGAAGTAAGGGGGGAAAGGAGGGGAATCAGGGAATTCGCGCCTCATCTCTTTCCTCGTCATCCCTTCCCGTGCCTCATCCCCTTCCGCGCGTTTTCCCCTTCCGTGCGTTATTCCGCTATATCCGTGAGCAGCGCACGCCTGCGCGATGAGGAGCGGCAGCGCGCCAATGCGCCTGCCGCAGATCACGTCACAAGCGGAGCATCTCTCCTGTCGCACGCCAAGCCTCCGATTTTCTTTCCCCCCTTTTCCCCCTCCACCCCCAGTATCTGCTCCTCTCCCCCGCCATCCGGTGTTGCGTCTGCCGCAAGTTGCGCCAGCGGACAGCTCTCCCATCGCGCAATCAGAACCGATTTCTCCCGCCCACGCAATTTTTCTTCCGCCTCTCCCCTCCCTCTCCGCCTTCCGCGGTCTTCGTGTCGAGTCGTCGCAGAACTCCCATATCGCGCTGTTTCGCCCTCTTATCAACACTCCTTCCATCGACCCCACATGTACAAGTTCTGGCACGTCACCTATGTTTGAACTCTCTGTTGTGGTTAGGGGGGGTCCAGCTCGTACATTTACTGTTCATAAACCCCCTCAGTTACCACATTTTTTGTGGTAACCCTTTATTGAACGTGTCCAGCGGACACAATCAGCTTCTGTTCGCAAGACGGCACGCCCCATGCACGTACCTAGAGTCGTCTGACTCACGTTACTGGAATCAGCAGGGACGCGAACAAGGGTACAGCACCGCGTCCTGGCCACTACAGTTCGTTTCCCTTGTATCGCTTGCACGATTTCGTCAGTGGTTCGCTCTACTCGCCAGCGCCCCCTGCGCCTGCACAAAAATTTTCAAGCTATGATTGACGAGGGAAACTGTTACCTCGTTTTCAACGTGGTCAGAGCACTGTTGATTCGTGTGGCGGGGAATGTGTCCGCGCTTCTGAAATTACAGGATGGTTGGACTCCACTCACAATGCATTCGTTTTTAGGTACGGTAGTCATTTTTGAACCTCGATACGTGCGCTGGCACGAAAAATCCCGAAATGAGCGAACTGGACACGCCCTTAGCTACTGCGATTATTTCACACGTGAAGTGGTTAGCTTGTTCGATCGTGGTGTTTCCTTCTGCGAGGACATTCTCCCCTACTTGATCCTGATTGGCTGGCCAACAACCCTAGCGACACTCATTCCAGTCGCAGCTCTTTGCTTTGCAAAGCTGAACAGTATCGTTCACCATCACGTCACGTTTGGCGAGACTCCTTTCCCCTTCGTCAACCCATCTTTTTCTCGCTACACGGACTTTGCCGAAATTCTTGTTTTCAAGGTTTCGCCAACACCATTTCAAACCCACATAACTTGATATTTTACCATGCTGACCTCGGGCTTTAACTTCTATCAAGCCTTTGCATAAACAAGAAGTCCACCCACCCACACCAAATTACCGTAAGTCAATCCGTCACCTCCTTTCCACCCACGGGATAAGCCAACACCCTTGGATGTACTTTCCTGTATAGGTGCCCGATTTCGCCACATTATTTCCAATGGGTTCCATTCGGCAGGATTTCGCCACATCATCCTATTCCTCGTGCCACGTCAGCATCATCATCATTGTCAGGGATACTCTGACCAATCACCTGCGCCCGGCTGACATCAGCAACTCCAGATAGGATTTGATCCACAAAGGATGATCCTGCCCTTGCTGCTCGCGACTGCTGCTGCTGCTGCAGGGAAGAGCGATGATACTGTTCTCTGCTGCTGCTGGGCCCTACTCTTCCTCCCAAGCCTCCTGCTCCTGCCATCCCGGGTCTCGTGCTGACGCTCGAGGGACGTGTGGCCCGAACCAATGGCACAGGCTCGGCGGGCATTTGCTTAATACCTGCACTCCTACCCCTCTCCAACCCAGCCCCACCCCCCCAGTCCAAACCACTCTCCCTTTCCATTCCCCCTAATCCTCCCCCACCCCCTCCCCCTCTCTCCCCCCCTCCTCCACCCCCGCCTCCTCTCTTCCCCCCAACCACACCCCCCCAGTCAAGCCCACAATCCCCAGGGGAGCTGGCCCGGTGGGCTCTTTTGGACTGTAGCAGGCTGCCAGCTGGCATCTCTGCTGCTGCTTCTTCCCTCTGCCGCTTGCGAGTCTCTGCTGCTGACAGCGGTGGTGCTGCTGTTGGTGTTCTTGTTGCTGCAGCACCAGCGGAACCAGCAGCACCACCAGCACCAGCAGCCGCACCAGCAGCCGCACCAGCACTAGCACCAGCAACAGTGGCTTTGCTTTTCTCGACCAGATTAGCCCACTTGGAAGGGGCATCACGGGTCGAAGCGCCTCGATGTATTTGCTGTTGGTGCCCCTGCTGCTGCTGCTGCTGCTTGTGGTGGTGCTGGTTGTGCTGCTGGTGCTGCTCTCTCCCTCTGTCCCTTGAACCCGACCTACTCCTATCCCGCATCCTCTCCTTTTCCCTATCTCGTTCCCTATCCCGAACCCTCTCTCTTTCCTTCTCCTTTTCCTTCTCCTTTTCCTTCTCCCTTGTCTTATCCCTTTCCTTCTCCCTTGCCCTCTCATGCTCTTTAGCCTTATCCCTATCTACCTCCTTCACCCCCTCCCCTCCTCTCCCCTCTCTCATCCTCATCTCCCTCCTCCGTCTCTCAGCCTCCCTCTTCACCCCACTCAATCCGTGTCTCCGATCACCTTCCCTCTTCACACACCACATAAAGAACCCCTTCTCACCGTTCTGAATCCACACATTCGTCCTCAGATCCTTTACCACCTCTGGAATGTCAAACACTGGTCTCACTCTTTGCTCCCTTTGCTCTGGTACCCTGCCAGGCTCCCTCTCCCTGCTCCCTTCCCTAGCTTTAACTCTTTCCCTTTCACTGTCCCTTCCCCTCTGCATTTCTCTGTCTCTTGCCCTATCTCTATCTCTATCTATACCTCTATCCCTGCCTCTATATCTATCACTGTCCCTATCCCTGCCCCTGTCCCTGTCTCTGTCCTTCTCTCTTTCCTGCTCCCTGTCCCGGCTCCTTCCTCTGTCCATACTCCTTCCCCTCTCCTTGTCTAATTCTCTTTCCCTGTCCTTCATCCTATTTCTTTCCCCTCCTCCCGCTGCTTCCCTTATCACTGCCCCATCCCCATCCCCATCCCCATCCCCTCTCTCCCTCTCCCTTTTCCCCAATTCCTCCACATTCTGAATCCCCTCAGTCGGTCTCGCCCCATGCTCCCTCCCCTCAGCCTCTCTCATCTCTCCTTCTCCCTTCCTTAGCACTGCTCCATCCTCTCTCACCCTCGGCCCTGCTGCTGCTTCAGGCACCTTCTTCTCACGAGAATCTAACACCTCCTCCTCTCGGCTTCCATCCTTGTGCTTCAAGCCTGCTGCCTCATGCATGCGTGCCTTTAATGCTGCTTGTACTGGCAAACTCGCTTGTTCCTTAACCCTAGCTTTCGCCTCTGCTACTGCTTTCGCCTCTGCTACTGCTTTCGCCTCTGCTACTGCTTTCGCCTCTGCTACTGCTTTCGCCTCTGCTACTGCTTTCGCCTCTGCTACTGCTTTCGCCTCTGCTACTGTTTTCGCCTCTGCTACTGCTTTCACCTCTGCTGCTGCTTTCGCCTCTGCTACTGTTTTCACCTCTGCTGCTGCTTTCGCCTCTGCTGCTTCTGCCCCTGTTGCTGCTGCATCCCCTGGTGCTTGCATTGGTGCCCTTGCCTCCTTCGGCCACTCCTCTCTTGCTCTTTCATCCCTCACTTTCTCCTCCCTCCCTCTCTCCTCCTTCCTTCTCTCCTCTCTTGCTTTCTCCTCCCTCACTCTCTCCTCTCTAAATCTCTCCTCCCTCACTCTCTCCTCCCTTTCACCTCTCCCACTCCTCTCCTCCCTTTCATCTTCCCCACTTCTCCCCTCCCCACCTTGTCTCCTCTCCCCTTCCTCGCCACGTCTCCTCCCTCCCTCCTCTCCCCCACCCCTCTCCCTCTCAGGCAAAAACCTCAAATCAGCCCTCTCCCCTCTCACCAACCCCTCCCTGTAAGGCCTTTTCACCCTAAAAACCACCCCTCTGTCTCTCGCATCACACAGCAGAGCACACCAGGGCTTGCTCTGAGCCAACGTGGCCGCATTCCCCACAATCCACAGCGCTTTTCTCGCCCGAGTTAATGCTACGTTCATCCGCCGTTCATCTGCTACAAATCCGACGGTCCTCCTCTCTTCCCTTGACGGCCGATCGCCGGTGTTAGGCTTCCCAAGGAGAGAAGATGAGGCGGAATGGCGAGAGGAGGAGGGATGGAAAGAGGAAGGGAGGAAGGGGGAAGGAGAGGCACGGACGGTGGAGAAGAGGAGGATATCGACCTCCCTGCCCTGAAAGCCGTCGACTGTGTTAAACTCCACGTCTGCTGCCCCCCCCCGCCCCAGCGCTCGGCTAAAAGTGTCTCTTAGAAGGAAGAGCTGCTGCTTGTAGGGGGTGATTACACCTACCCTGCCAGGCGCACACTCCTCAGGAAACCTGGTAGAAGAGACACACATGCATACAGTACAGTACAGTATAGTACAGAACAATACAGTACAGAGGGAGAAAAAGACATGTCATTCAGAAGGAAAAGCTGCTGGTTGCAGGGCATATGTCATTTGGATCCGATTCTGCCTGGAACACATTCCTCAAAGAAGCTGGAAAAGTGACGTCAAATTGGGCAGAGGGAGGACGTGCAGATGCATAAGGCAGAACACCTTAACCGGGAGAATTTACCGTTGCTGCTGCCTGTCCGATTGCACGCCTCAACCCATCCTCGAAGCCATACAGAGAGTACGGTACCAGTGTGAGCACAACAACTTGAAGAAACTCTTACCGTTGCTGCAGCAGCCAGTACAGCTCCAGAGCGACCGTTGCTTCAGCCTCGTTGCAGAGGGAAGGGGCTCCTGCCAGCCCAAGTCCTCTCCACGCCATCCTCCACATCAAATACAGCATATAGGAGCAGTGCGACAACAACAGCAACCTGGACACACACATACCGTTGCTGCAGCAGTCGGTACAGCTCCAGGGCAGCCGTCGCTTCCGCCTCGTTGCAGAGAGAAGGTGCTCCTGCCAGCCCCCTCCTCCTCTTCACGCCATCCTCCACATCAAAGACCGTGTATGGCAGCAACAGGGCCACAATAACAACCTCAACACACACTCACCGTCGCTGCAGCAGCCGATAGAGCTCCAGGGCAGCCGTCGCCTCCGCCTCGTTGCACAGAGAAGGGGCGCCTGCAGGCCCTCTAGTCCTCTCCACGCCATCCTCCACATCAAACACACCATACGGCAGCAGCGGGGCTGTTGACCCCACACTGTGCTGCTGCCTGTGCACTTGCATACATACAGTCTAGCCTTTGAAGCACTCACCGCTGCTTGAGCAGGAGGTACAGCTCCAGAGCAGCCGTCGCTTCCCCCTCGTTGCACAAGGAAGGGGCTCCAGCCGGCCCTCTAGTCCTCTCCACGCCATCCTCCACATCAAACACACCGTACGGCAGCAGCGGGGCTGTTGACCCCACACTGTGCTGCTGCCTGTGCACTTCCATACATACAGTCTAGCCTTTGAAGCACTCACCGCTGCTTGAGCAGGAGGTACAGCTCCAGAGCAGCCGTCGCTTCCCCCTCGTTGCACAAGGAAGGGGCTCCAGTCGGCCCTCTAGTCCTCTCCACGCCATCCTCCACATCAAACACACCGTACGGCAGCAGTGGGGCTGTTGACCCCACACTGTGCTGCTGCCTGTGCACTTCCATACATACAGTCTAGCCTTTGAAGCACTCACCGCTGCTTGAGCAGGAGGTACAGCTCCAGAGCAGCCGTCGCTTCCCCCTCGTTGCACAAGGAAGGGGCTCCAGCCGGCCCTCTAGTCCTCTCCACGCCATCCTCCACATCAAACACACCGTACGGCAGCAGCGGGGCTGTTGACCCCACACTGTGCTGCTGCCTGTGCACTTCCATACATACAGTCTAGCCTTTGAAGCACTCACCGCTGCTTGAGCAGGAGGTACAGCTCCAGAGCAGCCGTCGCTTCCCCCTCATTGCACAAGGAAGGGGCTCCAGCCGGCCCTCTAGTCCTCTCCACGCCATCCTCCACATCATACACACCATACGGAAGCAGCGGGGCTGTTGACCCTACACTGTGCTGCTGCTGCTCAGCCTGTAACGAATCAGACTGAAACGAGGATGGTGAGGGGTAATTGGATGGAAAGGCTTGGAAGGGGGAGGACCAGGAGGGGGCGGTGACACAGGGAGCGTCAGAGAGAAGGGACTGGTAGAAGAAGGAGGAGGGGAAGCGGGAGATGTGAGGGTTCATGCGGTACTGTGTGGAGAGCATGGTAACAGGGTAACCAGACGTCTGTAGGCGCTCAAAGAGCGAGCGCTCGTAGCCAAGGTTGGATGCCGTACGAGAGAGGACTGTTGCTGGCAGCTGCTTGGGGTCGCCCACCTGTGCAGTGTGGTGAAGAGGGGTAGAAATGGGTGGAGAGTGAAAGGGAATGGGTACAAAGCGGTGAAGAGGGGTGGGTGGAAGGAGTGGGAGTGCTCGTAGCGAAGGTTAACTGCCGTGAGGGAGAGGACTGTAGCTGGGAGCTGCTTGGGGTAGCTAGCCCACCTGGTGAAGTGCGGTGAAGAGGGATGAAGAGGGGTGGACAAGGGTAAAAAGGAGTAGAGGGGGGTGAGTGCTCGTACGAAGGTTGGATCGGTGCGAGAGAGGACTGTGGCTGGGACCTGGTTGGGGTCCTCCACCTGGTGCAGCGCAGTGAAGAGGGGTAAGAATGGGTACAAAGGGGCAGGGGGGTGAATGCAGTGCTGCTGCGGGCCATTCTTCTCCCCTGCAGGTCAGAAAAATCACAATGAAGTCCAGAAGAGTTGACTACTGAGACGACTCAAGAGTCACAAGAATGGCTGATAATTTGTCATGAATGAAACCAAGTCAGAACGCACCATGATGCATCGGCTGCTGATTCGACTGAGCAGCTGGAGGGGAATGAGAGTGGCTGGCTCCAATGCCTGAGCAGCCTCATCGATCACCACCGCATCAAACAACCCCTCCATCCACGACGGCAGCACCCCACCTGACCCTCCACCTGAAAAACCACCTGAAGCTCCTCCTCTGACTCCTCCCCCCATGCCTCCTCCCCATCCCCTCCCCCTCGCTCCAAGAACCCCCCCTCCCATCCCCCCACTCCCCCCAAACCTCCCACCGCCAGCACCACCACCCATCCCCTCTGCTCCTCCTCCCCCTCTCCCTCCCTTCTCCCCTGCCCCTTCCCAACATGCTGTAAACACATCCCCTCCACACGCATTTAATGTAGTCACAACCACTTCCGCCTCTCTTATAATCTCTTTTTTCACAGCTGCCCGGCGCGCTTTATCCTCTTCTGCAGCTGCCCGCCGCTCCTTCTCAGCTGCTGCCAGGTCAGCCGAAATCTCCCGCTTCTTCCGATAAAGCAGGTTAAGCCTCGCTCTAATCGTCTCCTCCCCATGCGATATAATCTCCTCTGCTATTTCCTCTGCCGTTTTCTCCTCCTCTCCCCCTCCCCTTCCACCCTCCCGTCTCCTCTCCCTCGCACCACCACCCTTCCCTCCATCTCCCTCCTCCGCTCTTCCCTCCTCCCCACCCTCCCCGTCCTCCCCTGAGCGTTTCTTGCATCGAAGTGCCTCTACTGCTCTGATCACCTCAAAGGCCCGTTCCAACTGCTGCCTCAACTGCGCCACTCTCTCTCTCACAGCACTCTCAGTTCCCAAACCACCACTCGCACCACCAGCACCAGCAGCAGCAGCAGTGCCACTGCCTGTGCCCCCACGAGTGTCAGCACCACCACGCGCGCCCCCACCAAACGCCCCATCACCAAACGCGTCCCTCCAATCCTTCTCGCTCACACCCCCACTACCACCCTCTTTCCCCCCTTCGTTACTATCACCACTGCCTACATTCACACCTCTCGCAGCTGCTTCTTTCACTAGCCTCTTTGCCACTAGTGTGTCAATGTGAATATGTAGAGAGTCCGGATGGACAGCAGACACGTTCCCAACGCGCACAACCGACGGCTGAGATCGCGCCGTCGCGTCCTCCCCGTCCTTGGCTGCCTCGGAATGGGCTCGGAAGATCCTAGATATGATTTCGTCCACTGCAGCATTGGATTGCGCACACACCAGCACCCTCGTCCGCTGCTTCTTCCCCCCTGCCCCTCCTGCCCCCTCTCCCCCTCCTCCTCCCCCGCTTGCCCTTCCTCCCGCTCCACTACCTCCTCCAGCTCCCCCTCCTCGACTCACCCCTCCTCCTCCCCTCACTCCTCCCCTCACTCCTCCTCTCATCCCCCCTCTCTCCAAATCCATGGCAACAGCAGCATCTTGCCACATACGAGCCATAGCAGTTGCAGTACTCACCCTCTTTCCCTCCCCACCCAACCCACCCGCCCCACCCCTCAACCCTGGCGCCCTCCCAAGCTGCCTAACCCTCGGCTCTTTCAGATCCCAGCCCACACCCGTGTCTTCTCCTGCTCCCGAGTGCTCCTGATTCCCAGAGTTAACTCTTTTCTTGCAGGCTAGCAAGGCTGTGATGATGGCAACGATGGTGCGGGTCTTGCCTGTCCCTGGCGGACCCTGCACCAACACCAGCTGTCGATTCGCCTCTGTACTGCCGCCACCACCACCACCACCACCACCACCACCACCACCACCACCACCACCACCACCAAAACCACCAGCGGCAGCAGAAGCAGCAGCACGACCAACACCAACAGCACCAAAACCAGCAGCACCGGCAGCAACAGCAGCAGCAGGAGCAGCACCGCTGAAGCCCGGATTGCTGCTGGATGACCCGTCCTTGTTTGTTCCGACCGCCTGCTGAATGGCTTGCAGCTGGTACTCGTTGAACTGGGCCTCGTACTTGTGCCTGAGGGCGACTGGCAGAGGCGTTCCTTCCAGAGATGCAGTCGCAGCACCAGCAGCAGCACCACTACCAGCAGCACCAGCAGCGGCACCAGCAGCACCACTACCAGCAGCACCAGCAGCGGCACCAGCAGCACCGGCAGCACCTGAACTGGCAGCACGAAAGCAGCTGGGCTTAAGCAGAGGTGGGAGCAGCGGCAGGTACTGCGCAGCAGCGAGGGCCTGAAACTCGCGCATGTGGGGCACGAGGGAGAGGATGCGCGTGACGTGCCAGCAGCTGCGGTCGCCCAGGAGTTGCTTGCAGCGTGCGAGGCGAGGGGTGCCGGTGGGCGGGAGGAAGAGACGCAATTGGATTACCATTGCCCGAGATTCCCTCTCGTATTCTCTTCTCTCCACCTGAGGAGAGAGGGGCAGGGGGGGAGGAAGGAGAGGGTGGAAGGGGGGTGGGGCAAGGGGGAGACAGAAGAGAGTGAGGGAAGGAGAGCGGGCAGTTAGGCACTGTGCAGTGCAGCAGCGAGGGCCTGAAACTCGCGCATGTGCGGCACGAGGGAGAGGATGCGCGTGACGTGCCAGCAGCTGCAGTCCCCCATCAGCTGCTTGCAGCGCGCCAGGCGCAGCGAGGAGGTGGGTGGGAGGAAGAGACGCAACTGGATGACCATTGCCCGCGATTCCCTCTCATACTCCCGCCGCTCCGCCTGAGAGGAAGGGATAGCAGGACAGTGGAAGTGGGGTGCGGTGGGGTGGGTTGGAAGATGGATGAGGTGGGAAGGTGGGGAGAGGAGATCTCCCACAGCCGCAGTAGCGTGGTGGTCTGCCACGTTGCGCGTGAGCTGCACGGGATAATTCTCCCCACAGAACAGAACGCCCCTGTTCAAATCGCTCTCTCACGCAATGATTCTCGTCTCACCTTGGCGAGCACATGAAGCTGCTGTGCTGCCACAGCACCACCACCAACCCCCAGCAGCAGCTCCAGCGGCACCAACAGCACCAGAAGCAGCATGGTCGGGCACTTTCCTGGTGAGCATCATGAGATCATTCTCCTCACAGACCTCCCCCACAGAGACCACTGCATTCACTCTTACATGCAATGACTCTCGTCTCACCTTGGCCAGCACATGAAGCTGCTGTGCTGCCGCAGAAGCATCGCTCCCAGCAGCAGCTGCCGCCGCTGCAGCAGCATGGTCGGGCACTTTACGGGTGAGCAGCACGAGATCATTCTCCCCACAAAACGCCCGAGACCCCGATGAAGCTCCAGGTTCGGCCATGAACCTCGCGAGCTGGAAATCATCCACCCGCTCTATCGACAACATTCTCAGCGCTCCCACATATGCCACCTCCGCCCCTCCCCTCCTCTCCCCCGCTCCCCCTCCTCCCGCGCCTCCCCCTCCTCCCGCTCCCCCTCCTCCCGCTCCTCCCACTCCTCCCGTTCCTCCCGCTCCTCCGCCTCCTCCCGAGCCAACAGCATCTTCGTACGATCGCCGAAGCTGCGCCTTGAATTCCTCCAGGACTAGTGGTTGGAACACCCGAACGTACTCCGCCACCGAACCAAACTCGTCTGGCACCCGAACCAGCCCCCGGCTCGCCGAACCTGCAGGCTCGGAACCAGACACCACCTCATAGTAATCCATGGCCAGGATCTTCCAAAACCAATCGTCTAGCTTCGGCAGAGGCGGCTTCTTCCAAGCCATCCAGTCCTGGATGCCGAGCCTACCCGCCAAGCCTGCCTGGCCGGCCTGGTCCGAGCCTAGTGCGATGGTTTGGTGGCGTTTGATCTGGTCTGCAACGCGGTTCATGCCTTCAAGCCCGCCTATTGAAAGTTTCCCTCCTGGCCTCCTAGCCTTTGCTGCTTCTCTTTCAAGCTCTGCATCCAAGTCATCATCTGCAAAGACCTCTAGAAGCACTGCCGCCTTTGCTTTTGCCACCCCTGCTGCCCCTGCTGCTCCTGCTCCTGCTCCACCTGCTGCCCCTGCCCCTGCTGCTGAACGTGCCATGGCTGGTGGGACAGGGGCTTTGCCGAATAAGCCTGCTCCAGATAAACCTGCACCCGAGGGTGGCTCCACAGTAAATGCAAACGGATCCGCTGCTGCACCAGCCCCCCCTGCCCCTCCCTGCTGCTGCTGCTGCTTCAGCCTCTCCGCCAGCTGTCGCTCTCTGATTTGCCGCTGCACGTCCCCCAGTGCACTGTTCCTCTGCTCCACCTCTGCCTTGTGCGACTCTCGAATCGCTGACAGCTTGCCCCCTCTGCCTGCCCCTTTCATTACACCTGGCTTTCTGCTTAGAAGACTCCGCGGCTTCTTAAAAACGATCCCTCCTGCTCCAAGCCTTGACCCTGCACTCGGTTTTCCCATGCCTGCACCCCCAGTGCCAGCAGCAGCAGTGCCGGCAGCGGCTGTAGCACCAGCACCAGCGCCAGCGGCAGCTGCAACCTGCGTGCGCAGGTATTTTTCGAGAGTGTTTCGGCGCCGCTGCTTTGCTGCTTGCGAGGAAAGGAGAGAGGCAAAGGGAGAGGCGGCGAAGGGAGTGGCAGCATGAGAGGAGGAGGATGCAGCGCCTGCGGAGAACGGAAAAGAAGGCGCCGACTTGGCAAATGCACCTTCCCCAGATGGAGTCTCAGCCTCTGCGCCCCCACCTTCACTGCCTCGCTTCAGCTGCCCTATCGGCACCTCATCCTCCTCCTCCTCCTCCTCCTCCTCATCCTCCTCCCCCATCTCCTCCTCCTCTTCCTCCTCCTCCTCTTCTTCCTCCTCTTCTTCCTCCTCTTCTTCCTCCTCCATCTCTTCTTCTACTACCTCCTCCATATTCATATCACCCACTCCCTCCTCCTGCTTCCCTCCCTGTACTTCCTGCTTCACTGCTTTCACCCCTGTAGCATCCATCCCACCAGCACCCATCCCACCAGCACCCATCCCACCAGCACCCACCCCAGCACCCTCCTCAATCTCGTCCAGATCTATAGTCTCAACCATTCCTCCCTTCCCCTTTCCGGCAGTCCCTTTTTCCACTCCTCCAACACTCCAACCCCCACCCCAACCCACTCTCTCCTCCCCTTTCCTCCCCCTGCTCTCCTCCTCATCCTCACCCCTCCTTTCCCCCTGCTCCTTACCCCTCTCCTCCTCTTCATCCTCACTAAACAAGTAAATCAAATCTTCAATCCCCTCTCTCCCACCCTCCTCCTCTCCCTCCTCCCCATCCACCATCCCCCCGTCCACAGACGGAACCCTCAGGCTCGGGAGCGGCTGCTTTGGCGGAGGTTCGGCATCCGAAGCTGCGATAAGCGACGCTGCATGCTGTGCTGCTGCCAAAAGCCTATCCTTCTGTTCTTGAGACAAGCTCACACCAACATTTAGCTTAATCCCAGCAATCAGGCAACTACAGAAATCCCTCAGCAGCACAGCCCATTTCCACCTCCCCCAAATCCCACCTCCCCTGCGACCACCAGTCCTGCTGTTGCTGCTCATACCATGACCACTTTTGTTACATTCTCTGATGTGGTTACCAGTGATAAGGCTCCATGTAACCTGTAACGCTTTCAGCACTGTTGCTGAAGCATCCACCCATCGATGCAGTATAGACCCATCCTTTACAGTCACACAAGCTGCCACGTCAGCCACCCAATCAGCTTCCTCCTCTCTCCCTCCAGCCCCCGCACCACCCATTCCTCCATCCCCAAACCAAGAGGCCCGTACCCCTGCCGAGCCTCCACCCCAGGCCTGGCCGATGCTCCGTTCCAGCAGCAGGTTCGGAATCTCCGGGGAAGAAGCAGCGATTGGGAAGAGTGAGAGTTTACCATCGCAAACCATGCTGGGAACTTTGAAAAGCCCAGGGGCAGTTGGATGGGGGGAGGCAGTGGTGCCTGCAGCAGCCGCAGTGGCAGCAGCTTTGGGAGTGCTGCTGCTACTGCTCGTGATGGAAGATGAGGAAGGGAGTAGATGGTTGACAGCCAGGGGAAGGATCTCGAACAGACGGACAAATACGAGCTTCTGGTGAAGGGAAAGGCAGGGAGGGGAAGGCAGGGGAGGGGAAGGCAGGGGAAGGAAGGGAAAGGGAAGGAGGCAGGAGAAAAGAGAGAGAGGCATGGCCGATGGTAGTATCCACACATAATGATATCTTATCCACACATTACAACACCCATTTCAGCAGAAAAAATAAAAAATAAAAAGAAAAGAAAAAAAACTCCTGAGATGAGTTATTGAGATCTTACCTGACCGCCAGTGGTGATGGTATCAGCACATGCCCTGCATCGCCACACCAGAAATGCCACCATGGGCCACAGCACACGAGACACATCCCACCCAACCGCTCTCCACACCTCCTTTCTCTCCCTCTCCTCCCTCTCCCACTCCCTTGCCTTCTCCTTCGCCTTCCCCTCCTCATGTTGCTGCTCCAGTTTTACACTAGCAGCAGCAGTGCCATCGGTAGCACCAAACGCACCAGGCGCGGCAGCAGCAGTACCACCACCACCAGCACCAGCACCAGCAGCAGCAGCAGCTGTCACACTTGGCTTGGTGAAAAACTTCTTGATCCCCATTTGTGCCCCGACCCCTACCCCTGATCCTGCTCCACCCCTCCCAAACCCCCCAGACTTAGCAGTGAGGCTGGGTGAGGGAGGTGAGGGGCCGGGCAGAGGAGTGGAGTGCGGTGGAGAGATGCAGGAGAGGTGTACGGAGGGAGGGCCGAGGAGCTTGGATGCATAGAAGAGAAGGCCCTGGATGATTGACGCTTGCTTTCCTGTGGGGTCCAGGGACAACTGGAGGGACGAGGCATGGGCAGAGCACAAAGATGGGGGGATCCAAGGTGGGAGACAGGGAGGTGAGAGGGTAAAGCGAGGAGCTTTGATGCATAGAAGAGAAGGCCTTGGATGATTGATGCCTGCTTGCCTGTGGGGTCCAGGGAGAGCTGGTGTGTGTGTGAGTAGGGCAGAAGAATGGGAAGGGAAGGGAAGAGGCGGACAAAAGGAAGGACAGGCAGAAAGGAAGTGAGGAATGGAAAGAGAAGGGGTAATAGACGGTAGGAGGAGCAGAAGAGAAGGCTTTGGATGAGACGCCTGCTAGCCTGCAGGGTCCATGGGAAGCTGGTGGTGGGGGGAGAGACACCAGTCATCAACGTGTTTGAAGAAGTGTTTTGAGACGTCTCAAAACACTTCTTCAAACAAGTCATCAACGCACAACAGAAAAGGAGGAACAAGTGGGAGCAGCCGAATACCTCCTGGTCATCACAAGAACATCGCATGACCATGAGCACCAATTTCTTACCAAAGTACCAGCCTTGACAAACGCCTGAACAAGCTGGGAGCAGAGGCAGCAGAGGAGATGATCCGATACGATACGATCTCCTGCACCCATGACAGTACCCATTTGATTTCTCACCACAGCAGCCGCCTTGGCGAATGCCCGAACGAGCCCACGGGCAGAGACGGAGGAGGAGGCGAGGAAGGCGAGCTGGTGGTCAATACGGTGGTCTCTGCAGAGGGAGGTTAGCAGCTCTCGAGCCATATCCCTGTTGGGCTGGGGGAGGAAGGAGTGAAGGAGTGAAGACGGGGGACAGAGGTAAGGGATAGAGGTGGGGGAGGCGGCAAGGAAGGCGAGCTGGCGGTCGATGCGGTGGTCCCTGCAGAGGGAGGTGAGGAGCTCTCGAGCCATGTCCCTGTTGGGCTGGGAGGGGGAGAGGTGGAAGGAGTGGGAGAAAGGGTAGAGGGGGAAGCGGAGGGGGAGTGGGGAGAGAGACGCACATGGGACAGGTAAAGGAAGGCGAAATGGTGGTAGATTCACTTTTGAGGCGCCTCAAAAGACGCACATGGGACAGGTAAAGGAAGGCGAAATGGTGGTAGATTAAAGCTCAGGAGCCATTGCAGTGCGAAGGGGAGAAGGGGAGAGGGGGGGAGGGAGCTGACCAGTTGGGAATCGATGAGGAGGAAGATGAGAGGCTCTGCCAGGCTGGCATGCCACGTCAGCAGCTTGAGCCGATTGGCGCCTCTGATCTGGACGAGGCAAGAGGACACGCTCCTGTGATACAGGGACACGTGGCATGGGAAGGAACGGGATAGAACGGGATAAAGGAGGAAGAAGGAGGGTATTGAGGGGAATAGGTACATTGAGACTGAGAGGAATATGAATGGGAAGGATGGGGATGGGGTGGGAAGCAAACGGAAGGAATGTGGGGGGATGGGGGGAAAATTAAGGAAATGGAGTACAAACACCCACCCACCCACCTCTGCCGAATGGCGCTCAGTTGCTCCGTGAGTGGAGGATCATCAGACACGTGTATGAAGAAGTGCTTTGAGACGTCTCAAAACACTTCTTCATACGAATGGCGCTCAGTTGCTCCGTGAGCGGAGGATCATCAGACACGTGTATGAAGAAGTGCTTTGAGACGTCTCAAAACACTTCTTCATACGAATGGCGCTCAGTTGCTCCGTGAGCGGAGGATCATCAGACACGTGTATGAAGAAGTGCTTTGAGACGTCTCAAAATACTTCTTCATACAAATGGCGCTCAGTTGCTCCGTGAGCGGAGGATCATCAGACACGTGTATGAAGAAGTGCTTTGAGACGTCTCAAAACACTTCTTCATACGAATGGCGCTCAGTTGCTCCGTGAGTGGAGGATTATCAGACACGTGTATGAAGAAGTGCTTTGAGACGTCTCAAAACACTTCTTCATACGAATGGCGCTCAGTTGCTCCGTGAGCGGAGGATCATCAGACACGTGTGTGAAGAAGTGCTTTGAGACGTCTCAAAACACTTCTTCATACAAATGGCGCTCAGTTGCTCCGTGAGCGGAGGATCATCAGACACATGTATGAAGAAGTGCTTTGAGACGTCTCAAAACACTTCTTCATACGAATGGCGCTCAGTTGCTCCGTGAGCAGAGGATCATCAGACACGTGTATGAAGAAGTGCTTTGAGACGTCTCAAAACACTTCTTCATACGAATGGCGCTCAGTTGCTCCGTGAGTGGAGGATTATCAGACACGTGTATGAAGAAGTGCTTTGAGACGTCTCAAAACACTTCTTCATACGAATGGCGCTCAGTTGCTCCGTGAGCGGAGGATCATCAGACACGTGTATGAAGAAGTGCTTTGAGACGTCTCAAAACACTTCTTCATACGAATGGCGCTCAGTTGCTCCGTGAGCGGAGGATCATCAGACACGTGTATGAAGAAGTGCTTTGAGACGTCTCAAAACACTTCTTCATACGAATGGCGCTCAGTTGCTCCGTGAGCGGAGGATTATCAGACACGTGTATGAAGAAGTGCTTTGAGACGTCTCAAAACACTTCTTCATACGAATGGCGCTCAGTTGCTCCGTGAGCGGAGGATCATCAGACACGTGTATGAAGAAGTGCTTTGAGACGTCTCAAAACACTTCTTCATACGAATGGCGCTCAGTTGCTCCGTGAGCGGAGGATCATCAGACACGTGTATGAAGAAGTGCTTTGAGACGTCTCAAAACACTTCTTCATACGAATGGCGCTCAGTTGCTCCGTGAGCAGAGGATCATCAGACACGTGTATGAAGAAGTGCTTTGAGACGTCTCAAAACACTTCTTCATACGAATGGCGCTCAGTTGCTCCGTGAGCGGAGGATCATCAGACACGTGTATGAAGAAGTGCTTTGAGACGTCTCAAAACACTTCTTCATACGAATGGCGCTCAGTTGCTCCGTGAGCGGAGGATCATCAGACACGTGTATGAAGAAGTGCTTTGAGACGTCTCAAAACACTTCTTCATACGAATGGCGCTCAGTTGCTCCGTGAGCAGAGGATCATCAGACACGTGTATGAAGAAGTGCTTTGAGACGTCTCAAAACACTTCTTCATACGAATGGCGCTCAGTTGCTCCGTGAGCGGAGGATCATCAGACACGTGTATGAAGAAGTGCTTTGAGACGTCTCAAAACACTTCTTCATACGAATGGCGCTCAGTTGCTCCGTGAGCGGAGGATCATCAGACACGTGTATGAAGAAGTGCTTTGAGACGTCTCAAAACACTTCTTCATACGAATGGCGCTCAGTTGCTCCGTGAGCAGAGGATCATCAGACACGTGTATGAAGAAGTGCTTTGAGACGTCTCAAAACACTTCTTCATACGAATGGCGCTCAGTTGCTCCGTGAGCGGAGGATCATCAGACACGTGTATGAAGAAGTGCTTTAAGACGTCTCAAAACACTTCTTCATACGAATGGCGCTCAGTTGCTCCGTGAGCAGAGGATCATCAGACACGTGTATGAAGAAGTGCTTTGAGACGTCTCAAAACACTTCTTCATACGAATGGCGCTCAGTTGCTCCGTGAGCGGAGGATCATCAGACACGTGTATGAAGAAGTGCTTTGAGACGTCTCAAAACACTTCTTCATACGAATGGCGCTCAGTTGCTCCGTGAGCGGAGGATCATCAGACACGTGTATGAAGAAGTGCTTTGAGACGTCTCAAAACACTTCTTCATACGAATGGCGCTCAGTTGCTCCGTGAGCAGAGGATCATCAGACACGTGTATGAAGAAGTGCTTTGAGACGTCTCAAAACACTTCTTCATACGAATGGCGCTCAGTTGCTCCGTGAGCGGAGGATCATCAGACACGTGTATGAAGAAGTGCTTTGAGACGTCTCAAAACACTTCTTCATACGAATGGCGCTCAGTTGCTCCGTGAGCGGAGGATTATCAGCTGACTTTCGAGTCGACTCAAAAGTCAGCTCGTTACAATGTTCCTTCGTGAGCAGAGGATTTTTAGTCAATTCAGAACGCACATTGAGAACACACCCCCCCCCCACTCACCTCTGCAGAATGACGCTTAATTCCTCCTCGTGTTCTGCTGCTGCCACCGCATTCACACACCCTGCTTTCGCCCCTCTCCCCCCTCCCCCCGCCCCAGGAGCCAATCTCCAGTGCAGAGCCGCTGTAACCACCGCACTGCTGGTAACTGCAGGACCGCTGGTAACAAGAGGCTTACTCCCAGCAGATGTAACCCCAACACCACCACCACCAGTACCAGCAGCCGCAGCAGCGGCGGAAGCAGAGAGACAGAAGTGCCCTGCCACCCAAACGGCTGCTCTGAGTAACGGTTTTGGTAACCACTGGGGGGGATTTCGCTCTAGTAGCTCCAACCAGAGCGCGGGAGCACACTGCCACCTGTCGCTCTCTGCTGCCGCCACCTCAGCAAGCCGGTCCAGCTGGTCTTGAGGCAAACCCTCCGAGATTGAGGATAAAGAGGAAGAAGAGGAGGAGGTGGTGAGGGAGGAGGTGGAGGAGGAGGAAATTTGGCCTGTGCTGGTGTCAGCAGCACCAGAAATACCAGAACCACCACCCCCACCTCCCTCCCCTCCATGCCCTCCCTCATCCCCTTCCCCTGGGCACACCAGCGACTGCGAAAACAACGCACCTGCCACAGCAAACCCCGAACCTAACCCCGAACCTGCGCCCGGACCTGAGCCCGGACCTAGCACCGAAGTGCCAGCGAAGGCTCGGGAGAGCGCGAGCGAGGTGAGGGCAGCAGTATCGGCAGTGATGATTGCTTGGGCGAGGTGGATGGCAGGCAGGCGGAGGGGGTCGGGGAGAGATGCGTCCTTGACTGCCCCCACGAGGGGCGGCCCCCAGATGTCAGCACAGTCGGTGGGCGGGAGAGGCGGAGTGAGTAGGTAGGAGTGCAGGATGAGGCTGAATGCGATCTGATGGGAGGGAGGGATGCGAGTGGGGGAAGGGGGGACAGGGTGGAGGTCACAGCAGCATAGCAACATAGTCTTGGCTGGGGTGAAGGAAAAGGGGGGAAAGGGTTGAAGCTGAAGAAGGGGAGAGTGGAGCTGAAGTTATGTGGCACAACAAATTAGATCAAGAGACAGAGGAAAAACCCTCACCCGACGGGCGATCTTGATGGTGGTGGTGCTGAAGTTGCGGCTGTTGGGCAGCTGGATGAGCAGGAAGAAGAGGATGTTGCGCCGCTGCCTCTCGAATTCCTCTGTTTCCAGCGATTCCACAGACTGATAAGCCAGGAAAGAATGTACAAAAAAGAAAGAAAGAAAGAAAGAAAGAAAGAAAGAAAGAAAGAAACCACAAGTACAAGAGTTATCGAAGCAGGATGTGGTTACAATTTCTTCATTTGATCGAAACAAAAATGGGGATAATGATATCACGGACGACTTGGACATGAACGGCAGGCAAGTTTTGGACAGACCTGCAGGAAGGGCGGCAGGAGGTCAAGCAGGAGCTTGTGGGTGGGCTCGTGGGAGGAGTTGAAGCACTGCGAGATGAGCGTGTTGCGCACGACACCGGGCGGGAAGGCCGAGTGCAACCAGAGCTTGTATCCTGGAAGATTTATGACAGGGAGTCAAAGGGAAGGAAAGAGCGAAGTAGAGAGGGGCGGATGGGTGAGTAGGTGAGTGGGTGGATGGGTGGGTGGGTGGGTGGGTGGGTGGGTGGGTGGGTGGGTGGGTGGGTGGGTGGGTGGGTGGGTGGGTAGGTAGGTGGGTGAGTGGGCGGGCGCTTGGGTGGGAAGGTGGAAGGAAGGTGGGACAGTGGCGAGGATGGGAGGTGCGACGGTGGGAGGTGAGCAGTTGGAAAGTGAGGAGGTGGAAAGTGAGGAGGTGGAAGGTGAGGAGGTGGAAGGTGGGAGTTGGGGAGGGGGGAGGCGAGAGGAGGGAGGAGGGAGGTAGGAGGTGGAAAGGTGGGCAGCAGGAAGGTGGGATGGTGTGGTGTGGGCTAGTGAGTGGGTTGGGCAGGCAGGTGGTGGAACAGGGAACTTCAAAACCCCATGTTTTGAAAGAATCTAAACCCCATATTTTGAAAGAATCTAAACCCTTTCACCCACCTGTGACTTGCAGCGTCATTCTGAGGCATGCAAGGGCAGGCCGGAATACCGAAGTGTCCTCCCCCACATGGTTCAGCAGTATGCTCACGAAAGCCGGGTAGCGCTCAACCACACACTGCTTAGAACTCAAGCTCGGTGACTTTTGAGTCGACTCAAAAGTTACCTCAACCACCCACTGCTTAGAACTCAAGCTGGCTCTTTAAGGGGCACCCCACCTGTGACTTGCAGCATCATCCTGAGGCATGCCAGGGCGGGTCGGAAGACAGATGTGTCCTCCCCCACGTGGTTCAGCACTATGCTCACGAAAGCCGGGTAGCGCTCCACCACCCCCTCGTCCAGTGCTGGTGGCGCCATGAGCGACAGGCTGAGAGGGATGGGAGTTGGGAGAGGTTGAGAGCGGTTTAGGGAGGTTGAAAGATGGGGCGGGTGGGGGAGGCAATGGGCACATGGGAGAAATATGCTCACGAACGCCGGGTAGCGCTCCATCACTCCCTCGTCCAGTGCAGGTGCTGCCATGAGCGAGAGGCTGAGAGAGGGGTTGAGAAAGGTTTGAAAAGATTGAGAGATGGCGCACATACAGAAGCATTAGAGTTGAATCAAAAGGACACCCACACACCACACCACACCACACCACACCACACCACACCACAACACTCCACACCAAAACACACCCACGCACAACCACACCACACTCACATGGTGAGCAGTCCCTGCCACATATCTTCCTTCGAATGCACCACACGAGGCCGCTCGCCCCCCTCCCTCCCACCCCCAACTCCTGCTCCCCCTTGCGCACTCGCAGAGGCAGTGGCGTTACCAGCAGCACCGGCTCTTCCCAAGCCTGTTCTCGAGATTGCTGCCGAGCCTGTTCCCGAGCCTGTGCCTGTGCCAGTAGCGGGTGTGCTTGTATCAAAGAGGTCATACTCCAGGACGTGCATGCACTGCTGCAGGAGGGGGTCGATGGGCCTCAAATCTGCTGCTGTTCTGTTTTCGGTGGAGGTTTGGGGTTGGGTGGGAGGGGAGAGGGGGTTGGGGCCAGTAAGAGAATTCCACAGGTGAAGATACTTCGTGGCAAAGAGGCAGTACTCCAGGGGAGCGTGCATCTTGGGAAAAGTTTAAAACTCATTGATCTCAGATGTACAAACATTCTGTGGAAAAGCAAGGAGAGTAGATAAAGTGTACGCACTTGAAGAGGCCGAGGGGCTTGGCGAGAGTGTAGACAATGGCGCGAGTGTCTTTGTTGGGATGAAGCATGAGATGGTAGAGGCCCTGAGTGGGGGGAAGGGGGAAAGGAGGATGATAGACGATGGTATACACGATGGCTCTAGTGACTTTGCTGAAGTCCTGTCCGTGGGGTATAGACGATGGCTCGAGTGTCTTTGTTGGGATGGGATGCAGCATGACATGGTACAGACCCTGAAAGGGGAGGGGAGGAGGTGTGTGGGGGGTATGAAAAGTGCGAAGGAAGGCGAGAGAAGCAGTGACAATAAGGAGCAAGTCTGCTGCTGATTCAGGCTAACAAACAAGTCTCTCCCTCCACGAGCAACAGAGAAGGGCCACATCATGGCACAGCATGTCATGCCTTGCCACATCATGGCACAGCATGTCATGCCTTGCATTGCCATATCATGCCATATACTGTGTCTATCACTCACCCGGTATCTTTGTCCCGGAGTGAGTGACAAGTCAAAGTGCCTTTTCACGAGCACCAGGGCAGGGCCAGCGAGGGAAAACACCTCTGCGTCCTCCAGCACACGCGGGTACATGAGCAACTCAAACATGACACAAATCACCCCCGGCCCGTCCCTCTCCCTTTACACTGACTCACCGGGTATCTCTGTCCCGGAGTGAGGGATAAGTCGAAGTGTCTCTCTACGAGCACCAGTGCAGGGCCAGCGAGAGCAAACACCTCTGCGTCCTCCAGCACGCGCGGATACATGAGCAGCTCAAACATTAAGCAGATCACCCCCGGCCGGGCCGGCCCTTCTCCCTCCTACACTGACTCACCGGGTATCGCTGCCCCGGGGTGAGTGAGAGGTCGAAATGCCTTTCCACGAGCACTAGAGCAGGGCCAGCGAGGGCGAACACCTCTGCATCCTCCAGCACACGTGGGTACATGAGCAGCTCAAACATTAAGCAGATCACCCCCGGCCCGTCCCTCTCTGCATCCAAAACCTGCCCTCCAGCCATGCCACTGCTCCCAGCACCGCTACCAACACCACCAGAACCGCTCGAAACACCACCAGAACCGCTCGAAACACCACCAGAACCAGCTCCAACACCACCACCCGTCCCTCCAGCACGACCCACCAGCGCCCTCAATTCTCCCGCCACCCTCTCCTCATCCAACCTCCTCAGCGTGTCCAACACAGGCCCCACCACTTCCTCCACATATTCCTCCTCGTACACTCTCTTCGCTGCGTGGTATCTCGCCACACAGCGCGTGCAGGCGCGCATCTCCCCCGCCATGCGCGCCCAGAGCGCGTGCAGTGTGGCGCGCGTGTCGGGCGGGCCCGAGTGGTAGTGGTAGAAAGGTTCTAAGAGTGGTTGAGTGAGGGATCGGTGGCGGCACCACAGGTGGGCAGAGGGGGGGAGTGCGGAGAGGAAGGAAAAAGCGTCAGTGAACCTGGGAGGGGAGTTGGGAAAAGGGGGAGAGGGGCAGTACAGGTGAAACGGGGGCTTTCGATTCTGAATTAAGTGGGCCCAAGTGGTAGTGGTACAAGGGCTCCAGGAGGGGCTGGGTGAGGGCGCGGTGGCGACACCACAGGTGGGCGGAGGGGGGGAGCGCGGAGAGGAAGGCGAAGGCGTCATTAAACCTGTGAACCTGGGGGAAAGGAGGGGGAGGGAGCAGGGTTGTAGAGGGGCAATGGGGGGTTCTGAATTGGGTGGGCCTGAGTGGTAGTGATAGAAGGGCTCCAGGAGGGGCTGGGTGAGAGAGTGGTGACGGGCTGGAGTGGTAGTCAGCATTTCCAGTCCCTCCCTGAGACGAGGCCCCAATAACCCCCAAAATACTCACCCTACTACACCCGGTACCACAACCCACGATACTGCTGATACCACGGATACCACTACCCTTAGGACGCAATCACAAGCACGCAGGCTTCTGTCCCTACCATTGTCCCTTGAGCGCTATCAGTTGCTCCTCCGCCCTTACCAATCCCCCCTCCCTACACAAGCACAAGCACTCGATCCTTTTTTCCCTACCATTGTCCCTTAAGCGCCATCAGTTTCTCCTCCGCCTCGTCATCTTCCGGAAGCTCACCCAGCGCCTCCTCTATCCGCTCCCACCGCGCCTGCAGCTGCTTCTCCGCCGCCTCAGGGGTAAGATTTCCCCCCCCTGAACCCCTTCCGCTCCCCCCGGCTCCCCTTCCGGACCCCCCCTCATCCGTTTCCTGCTTTCCGCCGGATGATGGAGCCATTCTGAGTGTATCAGCGTTGCGGGTTTACGTTTACGCTAACACAATGACGCTGCCACGGTTCTACGGTAACGAAACAGCTTGTAGCGAATCTGTAGTGCGTGACCGATCATGGCCAATCTTGAAGGTGTGCTTCTGACCGAGTACAATTCAACCTGTACGGCCAAGTCTGATCGAACGTGGACTGGTGTGGTGCGTCAGAGCACGCTGACTAATAGATCATGCTATCTCCTCAACTGCAGGCGGAGGTTGAAAATTAGTCATCGACGATAACTTGCGGGAATGGTAACAAGCTGATGATGATGCGTGGCCTGATGACGAGAGACGTATCGTAAAACGAAACCCGTTTGCCAGCCACTCGATATCGGAGAGTTGTACCACATGAACTTGAAGATGCTAAGGATCAACTTCTGAGGAAGATACTAAGGCAGGGATAAAATCGATACTTTCGAGGTACGATATGCCTTCCTCGCTTTCTCTAACCCAAGCACCGTCAAAGTAAGACTGGTCATCCATCCCGCTGCCATGATATGCGGAAGTGATCATCACTCATGCCTCGGCAATGTCAGAAGAATCCCCTAAAGGTTACCATCATGAGTTTTGAGGCTAAGTCCCAAAAGATCGCTTGAATGCGGCTGAGTTCGGTTCGTTGCATTTTCGAAGCGTTTCGTCTACTGCCTGGATGGGTTGGGTTGGATTCGGTTGATCATGAAGTTTTTTGGTTCTGTACCCTTGATTGTGCCGTGAGCGTCACGATGTTGGCGGGAATCGAATTGAACTGGTTATGTCAGAGACTTCATACAGTGAGTAGCATTTACAATTTAAATTACGTATACTACTCTTATAAATAGATACAATACAGAACACTTTCCAGCACAATACTTTTTAAACTATATCTACAATGTACGTGCATATTTAACATCTACTCAATGGAGCACTCAAGAGGAACTCCATCCCCTAACACAAGCTCCATCGGCTTGGCTCCCTCCACTGTCTCTCCCTTCACTTCTCCCACCACCTTCAAGCAGAAGTCGACATCAATAGAGTCACACCCAGGGCTCTGTAGTGCCTCATGCAGCCACACCCTGCACTGCTCCACCACTTCAGTCACATCCATTTGACTCAACCGCTTTCCAAATCCAGAGCAGTGCTTTCCTTCCACTTCCTCCAACCTACAATCACCACCATCACCACCATCACCTCCAACCACTGCCACATCAGCTCCTTCCCAGAACGTATTACATTCACCCAAATCTCCTTCCGGAAGTTCTGGAAGATCTGTTACATCCAGCAGCAGCGGAATCTGTGCAAGCTCCCCCAGAATTTCGTTAACATCGGCCATAGCATCTCCACCATTCCCTTCAGCCAAAGAACGGCCTTTCCTCTTCGATCCGGACCGTTTTCTACTCCCAGCAGCACCAGCACCAGCTTTCGCCGTCCGCTTCCCGGTCAGCAGGAACATCCGGTCCTCCTCTGACTTGCACTGACACGCCAGGCACTGACACGGCGTTTCATCTGACGTGGCGGGTTTCAACTGCTTCTCCAGAGCCTCCCAAAGACCCCCCTCTTCTGATCCCGAGTCGACGTCCAGCTCTTCATTTGCTGCTAAAACCGCGGAAGCAGGGGAAGGAGGATCCACGCGCCTAACTTTGGATGGCTGCTGCTGCTGCTGCTCCTGGTCCAGCTCCTGTTGCTGCTGCGGCTGCTGCTGGGGCTGCTGCTGCTGCTGTTGGAATTCGTAGCTTGATGTTGGTGAAAACGCGAGATCCCGCTTCCGCTTTCCGAGAGGGGCTTCGACAGGGGTCAGTCGCTCTTGGGACATAGCAACAGCAGCACCAGGAGCAGCAGACGGAGCGACAGGAGCAGCAGACGGAGCGACAAGAGCAGCAGGAGCGGAGGGGATTTGCGTTCCGCTGCCGCCACACCGGCGCAGAACGAGACCAGGGGGCAACTGCAGCAGAGAGATGCGCATTGGCTGCAGCGCCGGCGGCGGAGGGGGGTTCGCCACGTGGCATTGCTGAGGTGTCACCTCAGGCTGCGACGCGACGTGGTTTCCCAAGGCGGGTTCGACAAGAAACTCCGGGAACTCGTCGCCTGCGACGTCCAGCGACGAGAAATCGACGTCGCCACCAGTAGCATGGAACGCATCGAGAAGGAAGTCGCCAGCATCGCCGAGCGCATCGCCGAGCGCATCGCCAAGGCATGCATCGCTGAGTTTGCTCTCAAGAATCACGCGAGTCTCCTTCCCAAAGTCCGGTTTCACTGCAATCTGGCCCACGTCGTTCGCCGCAAGCTCGGTCGCAGTCAGATCCCCTGCAGTCAGCTCAACGGCAGTCAACTCGTCAACCAGATTGGCCTCGGCAATCAGGCTTGTCTCGTCCGTCAGATCCAAGCTCAGGATCCAATCAGCACCGCCCGCGGCAGCCGCAGCCGCATCAGCAGACGATGAGCTCTCCTCGACGATCAGATCTTCCAGGTTTCCGAACGCGTCCACAGGAGCTTCGTCAACGTTAACGTTACCGTTTGCTTCCAGTTGATTGTCGGATGGAGCAGACAGGAACTCGGGAAGTGGGAGGTCTTCGGGGAAAGAGATTCGCGCGGAGGTCGCCAGCAGTTCGGTGGAAGCGTTGTCGTTGGAAGCAGCAAAGTTTTGCGACATTCACGACCAGAGCACTATAAAAGAGCGGTGACTGAGCGACCAGAGAGCGATCAAACAGCGAGGATTGGCTCTGCGGAGGCTAAGACGAGTATAATCAGCGGCGAGACAGTCTACTTGCGAAGAGTTCGAACACAGAAGCGCACAGAGAAATGAAACAGACTACCAGAATATGTACTAAGTTGGCCTACTAGCCAAAGGACTGCTCGATAGGAGCAGACGGAGACGGAGTCGACACATGCAGAGGGCAAGGGAAACACACAAGCACAGGTGCCAGTGCGCTACTGGGTTTCCTGTGGTTTGCAGTACGTTTCGAAACGGTAGAAAAAGTTGAAGCGGTTTTCTGTGCTGATTCCAAGGTTTTAGGGGGGCCAGGCATTCGAGGATCTGACAGCAGCGACGCGGAATGCTAGGGCGAGCATCGCAACGCAATTTGAATTGACTCCGACGAATGCCTGGAGAATTATGGGTCGCATCGCAGGGAATGCAAGTAGGAATCTGAGTCGCAGGGATTTCGCACGGGAAGTTGGGTCGCGAAGAATGCTTGGAGAATTTTGGTCACAGCGCGCGAAGGGAACCCCTGGGCGACGTAGGCGGAGCCCCCCCGAGAATTCCGAGAGCCTATCTACACACGATGGCGGGAAAAGTTCATGCCCGTTCAAAAACCGACACGCACGCCAGGAAAACGAACGATAGTCAATTGTGCAGTGGTACCGTTCGGTACTGAAGGAAGGACAAAATGGGTACAGGTATAGAAACGAAATCAATTATATAGAAAGAATGAACTTTCTACAACCCACCTGAGACGGACTCTCTAGGTATATTGCGAAAAAAAACGTATCGACAATACCCAATTCGGCCTTCATTGTGCTGATGGGGCTATGGACACAGCGCGAAACTGGTTCACACTTTTCGCCCCTGCTTCAAGTTCTTGCTTCTCCCTCTTGCTGTCCCAGCCATGCTCCTTGGCCAGCAGTTTGACAACACGTGGCAGAGCATGCATTGCAGCATCGGCATCTAGGAAGGCGATACGAGATCGGCGGCACAGGAAGTCTGCTGCAGTCTCGCAAAACTCGTTACGGGCAGCGAAGATTACTTCAGCCTCGATGTCGGGGAAACCAGGAGCAAGGCGCTCAGCCAAAAGCTCAGTCTGTGGGGAATGGGAAAGAACGGACAGTGGTAAGTGTCTAGAAGAAATTCAAGTGCACGAGTGCCAAGGAGGAGATGATACGATGTGGGCTGAGAGCCCAGAAAGTACAAAACCTCAAAACACAATGAACCTTCAATGCATTCTTGCTGATAAAGTCAGTGTCTGATGAGGACGACGTATGTTTTATTATTTAGCAAGACAGAATTGAGAATGGCAAATCACTTACAGTTGCAATCTCCTTCACTTTGCTCGCATTTGTCCCATACGACCGCACCAGGTGGTACACCACCGCAGAATCCAGCCGGTACGGCAGGATCCGACGGTCAGGAGCCACCCGCAGCACATCGGCATTCTGCGCCAGCTGGGAGAAGAGGGCCGGGGTGAAGCCAGCCGCTCCTGTGAGGGGCAGATGCTCCGTGACGCTGGGGGGCAGGGCGAGAGCGCTGCTGCTGCCGCTGCTGCTGCTGGTGGTGCTGCTGGTGCTGGTTGATGGATTGGTGGGGTTGGTGGTGGTTGGTGCTGTGAGGTTGCCGACTCGGATGGCTGTGTTGACCGTGTCCTCTGCCATGCTGGACGAGGGAGAGGAGGGGGAGAAATTGAGAAATTGAGGGGGAAGGGTAAACAGAGAGAATGGAGTGGGATGAAAGGGGGGGAAGGGGAAGCAGGAAGGAAGAGAGGTAGGATGGGTGGTTGTGTCATTGGCAAAAACGGTTTGTTGAGAGGCAGACAAGTGAAGAGGGTTGAAATATGTGTTATTTATATGGCAATAATGTAGCAAAGTAAAATCTGTTACACTCACCTCCTGTAAGTGGTCCACTTGCCGCCTGTGACTGTAACCAGAGTACCTCCCTCCACCATCACAGTGTGCTCTCGGACCACATTCGATGTATCTGCCTTGCTCCCTTCCGTCTGCTTCCCCTCCTCTGTCTCAACCTCTTCCGGCTTCCCTGCTCCTGCCGTGCCTCCCTCGGGTTTACCCTCTTCTTGCGCGGGTGTTTTCGTTTTGGGCCCTTTCCGCAGGAGAGGGCGGAGCCCGCCCCAGACAGACAAGACATCTTCCTTGCGCACCTGCATTAACCAAGTTACCACAAGAGGAAAGCGACCATTAAAGCTGACGCAAACACTAGCAAGAGAAAATTCCATGTTAGGCGGTTTGACCGTTAAAGGTTTGGCACATGCTCAGAACCAAAAGGTGTAAAATGTTGGAACCGTTGGTTTGTCTGTACTGATTCAATATTGATTTATTAGCCTCATTAAACTGACATCGAATCCACACAAGCAGTTGCCCTCGTTATACTCACATCCACATCCAGGTAGTTGCTGAGAGTATCCACGATGAACTGAACCTCCGTCTCCGTGGGAACAGGCACATCCACCACCTCCGAAGGCGCATCTGTCGTTCCAGCCACCACCCTCCCCAGCCACCACCTGCCCCAGCCACGGCAGCATGAACATCACCCTCCCCAGCCACCACCCTCCCTAGGGAATAAACTGCGGCATCACACAACGGAATCAAATCCCAATCACTCACATCCACATCCAGGTAGTTGCTGAGCGTATCCACGATGAACTGAACCTCCTTCTCCGTGGGAACAGGCACATCCACCACCTCGGAAGGCGCATCTGTCGTTCCAGCCACCACCCGCCCCAGCCACGGCAGCATGAACATCACCCTCCCGTCCGCCGTCTTCGGTATAAGCAGACCCACGTTTCCGCCGCCGCCGCCGCTGCCGCTGGCGGTGCCTGCCCCCGCACCTGACGTGCTGCCAGAGGCGGCTCCCAGGTAGAAGTCGGGGAGAACGACGTGGGAGCCGGAGGAAGCCAGGACGGCGAGAGGAGTGTTGGGATCCGCCATACGGCGAACGCTGTTTGGGTTTCAGGGGAGAGAGGGGGATTTGGGTAGGTAGCGAGGTGTGAAGTAAGGTGGATTGCGAGCCTGACGTGCTGCCTGAGGTGGCTCCCAGGTAGATGTCGGGGAGAACAACGTGGGAGCCAGAGGAAGCGAGGACTGCCAGGGCATGTTGGGGTCGGCCATACGGCGAATGCTGTTTGAGGGTGGGGGTGGGAGGGGGGGCCGTGATGAGGGAGAGGGGGTAGGGGAGTAGGGGGGTTGGGGGAGATTGCGGTGCAAGGGTTTGTAAGTTGTGAGCCTGACATGCTGCCGCTGGCTGTGCCTGCCCCTGCTCCTGACGGGCTGCCTGAGGCGGCTCCCAGGTAGAAGTCAGGAGAGAGACGTGTGAGCCGGAGAAGGCGAGGTTTTGGGGTGTGGGTGGGTATTGAGGCGAACTGTTTTACACTGTGAGCCTGACGTGTTGCACTTGTTCAGTTGTTCCTTTACTGTCACGATTCTTCCTCCATATGTTCCGCTCTTGTTCTCAAGCACTATGTCACCTTTCACTCCTCACCTTTCACTCCTCACCTTTCATCCCTCACCTTTCAGCCTCTCGCCTGCTCTCCCCCACCCCTTTCTCACCTGTCACAGTAAGCGCCTGTGGCGTTCACCACCACTTTGGCGCGCACATCCACCTGCTTCCCCGTCAGCTCGTCCTTCACCACAGCGCCCTCAACTCGCCCAGTCGGGTCTGTCTTTAACGCGGACACGCTCGCGTGGTTGAGCACAACAGCGCCTGCGCGCGCTGCCGTGGTGGCGAGCGCGAGGTTCAGCCGAGCGTCGTCCATCTGCCCATCGTAATACAGCACTCCAGCTTTCAGCGTACGGCCGTCTGGGGAGGAGGGGTGAGTGGGGAGGTTGAAAGGAAGTTGGGGGCAAGGGGTAGTGCTTCTTTGGGGGACTCTGAGGCAGGCTTGCAACAGTGACCGCTACAGGGTGTTACGCTCTACGCAACTCACCTCGGGCCTTGTGTGCAAGCGTCGGAACCATCCCAGTAGCCTCCGCTGCCGTGACCACGCGGGACATGTAAAGCACTTTCTTCCCCGCTATAATATCATACGCTTTAAGCCCGACCCAGTAGTAGGGCACCTCCCACCAATGATAGCACGGCGTGAGCGTGGGTAACGGCCAGACCAGGTGCGGAGCGTTGCGAATCAGAATGCCTCGCTCCGCCAGGGCTTCGTTCACGAGGCGAAGCTGGGCGAGATCTCTGCGAAGGAAAGCCTTTTCGAGGTAACGAACGCCTGCAGAGAAGGAGGGAAGCGTGGAGGGGGGCACAGGAGAGAAGGAACGTGATTTGTTGCCTGCTGAAAGGACTACAGAAAAAGGACCGTGGGTGTGAGAACACAGAAACCAAAGCTCGTTGAGTGGGTTTTAACAAATAATATTGCCCCACGAATTTCCGAGGGGACTGACCTCCATGAACGAGCTTAGTGCTTCTAGAGGATGTGCCACAACTGAAGTCGTCTCGCTCCACCATCGCCACGTGGAGGCCGCGTGCAGCAGCGTCCAAGGCCACGCCAGCGCCAGTAGCGCCGCCGCCTATAACGAGGATGTCGAATGGCCGCGCAGAGCTGCTCCCTGCGAGAGCTGACATCTGAACCTGCCTCGACGGAACCTCGTCGGCAAGCTCTGGAGGGGAAGAAGCGAAACATTGAGTCTCACATTCAGGAGTTGACATAAGATACGCAAAATCGCATTCAAAAGAGTAAGAACTCAGACACATGGATGTCACTGAAAGTACAGCGTGAAATATGCATCGCAAATGGTGAATCTGTGGAATGTTACGAAGGCTTCTGGTTCAAGACATGCAAAACAATGGAAGACTGACAACACTGTCGAACTACACCGTGACACGTACTGGGAAGGTTCTTAGGAGGGTCGGCATGGCCGGTGGAGTGGATATAAGCCGCGAGAGCAGCAGCTGCGCCTGCTCCTCCGAATAGGACCACCTTGGAGAACAACCGACCAGTTGTGCGAATGCTCATTCTGGCTACCGTGAACTGTTAGCTGATCCGACAAGCTGGATTGAGTTATTGTTCCGTAACGTGATTATCTGACAACTTGGTGCAACGGAATGATCGTCAAGCTGTCGCGACGCGATTCAAATAAACAGGAACGGCACTGCTACATAAGGTTCAACTAGCAATAGCGCAATGCTTGAAATCTCTACTAATAAGTAGACTAGTATCGGGAAAGGCTACTGGTGGCCTGAATATCTCTACTATCAGCGACTGATCAACAATTCTATCCTTGAGAAATGGAATTAGGAGTCAGGGAGGCTCCCGAATTAGACCAGATGGAACAGCAGTGAAAAATCCCCAGGTCAAGCAAATCTCGTGGGGACCTGTCAGACATGTGGACCCGCGATTCCCGAAGTGAGTCTCTTTCCCGCGCATTGCTGGACGGCGATGGGTCATCAATGGCCCAATATGAGTCAGCCTAGGTCCAACAAACCAGCCCCAGGTCCACCGAAATGGCACGTAAGCAGCCACGTGCGAAATAAAGGGGTTGGAATCGTGGTTGGTGGGGCAACATGTGCTGGCAGTCTCGTATATCCATGGTGGCATTGACACGGCGAAAAACAGAACCATGCTTTAGAGTGACTTCCGGATTCCTACAGAGTGCTGTGCGTGTATCAAAATCGCCTAACTCTTTTCCACTTACAATATTTGCATCAATACAAAATTGTTTGTGGTGGGCCAAGAAGTCTGGCTTGCTTGGACATTTTGGCCAAATGCCAGTCTTCTACGTACCACTCTGGGGTACTATTCGTTGCAAAAATCTCTTCACACATTTTGATATCATCTCGAAGTAGACCCTGGATGTCAACATAAATGGTGGGTGAGTTTTGAGGGCGAAGGTATGAGTATATCAACAAAGAAAATAAAGAGGTGAAAAAACAAACACAATCAAGTCCAATTCCATACCTGGAAATGGTTAAATAAATGGCCAGATGAGGCAGGCAAGTCTAATCCATTCTCCACTGGCTCAATTGTACGATGCACCTGGATGGATGAATGTGGGATAGGTTGGTCGATGAAGCATACAAACCACATTAGAAAGAAAGGAAGAAACGAAAGAAAGAAAGAAAGAAAGAAACATACAGCACTAATTGATGAAACGGACAGTGCTACTTGCCTGCATGGCTGTGACGAGTTTTGTGTTGGCGATAACTTTTCGATGCCCAAAGTAATTGATGCAATTATCCTCCTCATGACCCGCATTCTTGGGCCCTATGCAGTAGATGTGTGGCCAGTGGAAGGGCATTCGCTCGAGATAAAAGTGATCCGATGGGGGCTGAGGGCTGTGAGACGACAAGAGCAGTGTTGGGTGGGGGATGGGGAAAACAAGAACAGAACTGATTTTGTGAGTCGATCGAAAAAAAAAAAAAAAAAAAAAATGATAAAAGTGCTCTGATGGGGGTTGAGAACTGTGGGGCAACGATAGATGTGGGGTTTGGGGATGTCGAGAGGGATGGGTTGGGAACAAATGGAGGAATAAGGTGACGGATGACTGAATGGCAACGCAACAATGATCGCAAAGCCGCATCACCACATTCATATGAGAGTGCTCGTGCAGCAAGCACTCAACTGTAGCACATTCTTCAGTTCACATCACACGCACATCACCCATTCTTACAACACACACTCACCGGCAGCGTTCAATGGACCACCAGAGGCTGCCGAAGGTGATGTAAGGTGCATTAGAGTGCTCGTGCAGCAACCCTTTAAGGGTCTGGGGCGGCTGAATGTAGAGAAACTCGTCGAAATCGGCAAAAAACACCCACCTGGAGGGTGAGAAAGGGGATTCGACTCAAAAGTCACTTGAGAGAGGGAGAGATGACGACAGAATGCCTGTGTACTGCCGCCTATATCAATGAAAGGGTTTCGGGCTTTGGGAGAAGACGGCAGAGTGAGGATGCGGAATCTGTTTTTTTTTTTTAATCCCAAAAACAGGATGCGAGAGAGAGTGTGTGTGTGTGAAAGGGGGAGCAGAACAGGGTAACATGTGGGGTGAGTGTCTGGGCGGTTGGATATAAAGGAATTTGTCAAAGTCAGGAGAGAACACTCACCTGGAGTAATGGAGGAGAGAGAGAGAGAGGGACAGAGACACAAAGGGTGAGAGGGAGAGTGTGTCAGGACGAGTGAGAGAGGGTAGCAGGTTCAAGAGGAACTCGTCAAATTCACGAAAGAACACCCACCTGACGTGTGAGAGAGAGTGAGGGATGTGACCAAATGAGAGTGTGAAAAACGTGAGCTTGCACAGGTGGCAGAAACAAACATGAGCTTATAAGAACATGAGCTTATAAGCGACGGATAGAGCAAGGGTGAAAGGAGGGGAGGATGGGACTTACTTGGAGACAAATTTCATTCGATAAAGACAGTTATTCAATACAAGCACGTTCTGCTTGGACTCATATCTGCTCCCAGATGCCCGGGGGGAGTGGAATGAAAAGCAGGAGGGGAATGGGAAGAACAGGGAGATGCAGTGCAGGAGGGAGCAGCACACAGGGAGTGAGCAGCATCACAGGGAGGATGGGGGACGACAGGTAGGGAAAGAGATTCGACAAAAACATCCCCTCTCTGCTCACCTTTCAGAGCCTCCCTTCCTCCCTAACGCCCTAGTTCCTTGTACACCACCCCACTCACTCACACCCCTTCAAACTCACTCGTACCCCTCCACACTCACTCCCCCACTCACTTGTACCCTCCCCGCATGTCCAATATCTCCATCATCCCCGCTGCCATGTACGGTTCCAGGACCTGAGTGAGGGAGCGAGTGAGGGAGCGAGTGAGGGAGCGAGTGAGGGGTCAAGTGAGGGAGTAAGGGAGTGAATGAGGGAGGGAGGGAGGGAGAGAGGGAGGGGGGAAGGGATGGTGGGAGGGAGGGAGAGGGGGAGAGAGGGAGTAAGTGCGGAAGTTTGTTAGAGGGAGGGGTAGAGGGATTGAGTCCGCAAGGACGGAAGGGAGGGAATGAGTGAAGGAGAGAGGTACGCTCTTTGAGTCGACTATCATTATAACGTGAGTGAAGGAGAGGTGCAGACAATCATCACTTCTCCCTTCCTAGCTTCGTTAGCATGGCACAATCGTTCAATACAAGGGTACTATTCTATATATATGCCCTATATATATTCATCGTGCATATATATATATGTATATATACATATTCTTGTTAAAAGGGGCGAGGCGTGAAAATCTCGTGCTTTCTTACGCAGGTGATGTGCGCAGTGCAGGACATAAGTAAGAGTGCAACAAATCACCTCATATACGTCTTCGACGATAGAAGCACCGTCGTTGAGAACAAAATACTCCACGCCCAGGTAATGCAGGGCTATCTGGGGGGTGGGGTGCATGGTGTGGGGCACACGATGTAGGGCACATGGGGTGGGGCACGTGGTGTGGGGCACGTGGGGTGGGGGACAGGTTGTGGGGCACATGGTGTGGGGCACATGGTGTGGGGCACATGGTGTGGGGCACATGGTGTGGGGCACACATGGTGTGGAGCACAGGGTGTGGGGCACACATGGTGTGGAGCACAGGGTGTGGGGCACAGGGTGTGGGGCACACGGTGTGGGGCACAGGGTGTGGAGCACAGGGTGTGGGGCACACGGTGTGGGGCACACGGTGTGGGGCACACATGGTGTGGGGCACACATGGTGTGGGGCACAGGGTGTGGGGCACAGGGTGTGGGGCACACATGATATGGGGAAGAAGAAGTGACCTGAAGCACCATCATTGAGAACAAAACACTCCACGCCCAGGTAATGCAGGGCTATCTGGGGAAGGGAAGTGATAGAGGGAGGGTGGTGTGGGGTACATGGCGTAGGGCAGGTAGCGTGTGGGGAAGAAGGGAGGCCTGGGACAGAAGCACTTTTGAGAATTCTCAAAAGTCACTCCAATATGGGAGGCCTGGGACAGAAGCACCGTCGTTGAGAACAAAATACTCCACACGCAGGTAATGCAGGGCTATCTGGGAGCGGGGGGAGGTGACTTTTGAGTCGACTCAAAAGTCAGCGGGGGGAGAGAGCGAGGACGGTGCGTGGACTGGGGTGTGAGAACAGAATACTTCACGCCCAGGTAATGCAGGGCTATCTGGGGAAGGGAAGAGATGGAGGAAGGGATGTGGCCGAGGTGTGAAGCTTATGCTGTGGGGCACACATGGTGCGGAAAGGACATATGGCGTGGGGTACATGGTATGGGGCTTATGGTATGGTATGGGGCATATGGAATGGGTGGGGCATATGGTATGGGGCCATATGGAATGGGGCATATGGTATGGGGCCATATGGAATGGGGCATATGGTATGGGGCCATATGGAATGGGGCATATGGTATGGGGCCATATGGAATGGGGCATATGGTATGGGGCCATATGGAATGGGCCATATGGTATGGGGCCATATGGAATGGAGCATATGGTATGGGGCCATATGGAATGGGGCATATGGTATGGGGCCATATGGAATGGGGCATATGGTATGGGGCCATATGGAATGGGGCATATGGTATGGGGCCATATGGAATGGGGCATATGGTATGGGGCCATATGGAATGGGGCATATGGTATGGGGCCATATGGAATGGGGCGCACATGATATAATCAGCGCAGTCATACGTGTAACAACCACAGTCATACGTGTAACCCGCAGTCATACGTGTAACCAGCTCAGTCATACGTGCAACCAGCACAGTCATACGTGTAACCAGCACAGTTATATGTGTAACCAGCACAGTCATACATGTAACCACCACAGTCATACTTGTAACCAGCACAGTCATACGTGTAACCACCACAGTCATACTTGTAACCACCACAGTCATACTTGTAACCAGCACAGTCATACATGTAACCACCACAGTCATACTTGTAACCAGCACAGTCATATGTGTAACCAGCACAGTCATATGTGTAACCAGCACAGTCATACGTGTAACCACCACAGTCATACGTGTAACCACCACAGTCATACGTGTAACCAGCGCAGTCACACGTGTAACCAGCGCAGTCACACGTGTAACCAGCACAGTCATACATGTAACCAGCACAGTCATACATGTAACCACCACAGTCATACGTGTAACCAGCACAGTCATACTGGTAACCACCACAGTCATACGTGTAACCACCACAGTCATACCGGTAACCAGCCCAGCCATGCATACCTGCAGCCACTCCTGGATGGTCTTTGGGTTGAGATGGCGGTACAAGGGGTAGGAGCAGAAGGCCAGGTGGTATGGGGGGAGTTTTGAGTCGACTCAAAACTCGACTCACTACACTCTGATTGAGGTGGCGGTACAAGGGGTAGGAGCAGAAAGCCAGGAGGTAGGGGGGGGGGGTGTTGCGTTGACAGGTGTGTGTGGTAACCAGCCCAGTCACACATGTACCCACTGCACCCAGCCATACCTGCAGCCACTCCTGGATGGTCTTGGGGTTGAGGTGGCGGTACATGGGGTAGGAGCAGAAGGCCAGGTGGTAGGGGGGAGGTGCATCGATGGCAAACTCGTCCTGCCCCTCCTCGTGCATCACCACTGCCTGCTCGTCTGTGGGATGGGGGGAGGTAAAGACCCATCTGCACCGATTTGAACCCATTTAGTTTCACCAAGGGAGGTGCATCGATGGCGAACTCGTCCTGCCCCTCCTCGTGCATCACCACTGCCTGCTCGTCTGTGGGATGGGGGGAGGTAAAGACCCATCTGCACCGATTTGAACCCATTTAGTTTCACCAAGGGAGGTGCATCGATGGCGAACTCGTCCTGCCCCTCCTCGTGCATCACCACTGCCTGCTCGTCTGTGGGATGGGGGGAGGTAAAGACCCATCTGCACCGATTTGAACCCATTTAGATTCACCAAGGGAGGTGCATCGATGGCGAACTCGTCCTGCCCCTCCTCGTGCATCACCACTGCCTGCTCGTCTGTGGGATGGGGGGAGGTAAAGACCCATCTGCACCGATTTGAACCCATTTAGATTCACCACGGGAGGTGCATCGATGGCAAACTCGTCCTGCCCCTCCTCGTGCATCACCACTGCCTGCTCGTCTGTGGGATGGGGGGAGGTAAAGACCCATCTGCACCGATTTGAACCCATTTAGATTCACCAAGGGAGGTGCATCGATGGCGAACTCGTCCTGCCCCTCCTCGTGCATCACCACTGCCTGCTCGTCTGTGGGATGGGGGGAGGTAAAGACCCATCTGCACCGATTTGAACCCATTTAGATTCACCACGGGAGGTGCATCGATGGCAAACTCGTCCTGCCCCTCCTCGTGCATCACCACTGCCTGCTCGTCTGTGGGAGAAGGGGGAAGAAGGAGAGGGGGAGGGGGAGAGTAAAGACCCATCTGCACCCATTTGAACCCATCTCGCCTCCCAAAGGGAGGTGCATCGATGGCGAACTCGTCCTGCCCCTCCTCGTGCATCACCACTGCCTGCTCGTCTGTGGGATGGGGAAAGTGGAGAGGGAGGGAAGGAGGAAGGGAGGGAGGAATGGAGGGAAGGATGGAGCGAGAAAGGGAGGGAGGGAGAAAGGGAGGGAAGGAAGGAGGGAGGAAGGGAGGAGGGAGGGAGGAAGGGAGGGAGGGAGGTAGGAGAGAGGGAGGGAAGGAGGCAAGGAGGAACTGAAGGACGGACGGAGGATTGTAAAGAGGTGAAACCCAACTGGATGGAACCACAGCGATGAAGGCAATCCACGCAAATCTGAGGCTCTCTCACTCACCTTCACCACCCTCACTCCCTCCCTCACTCAGCCCCTACCTAGCATGAGAATGGCAGTGCCTCCAGTGGTGCCTGCGCTGTTGACCAGCAGAGTATTACTGAAGGCAATGCAGGAAAACCTATGATCTCTCTCACTTAACCCACACTCGTACAGCAACTGCAGTGCCTAGAACTGACCTAGCATGAGAATCGCAGATCCTCCAGTGGTGCCCGTGCTGTTGACCAGCAGAGTACACTCGTAAATGGCAGTCTCGTACAGCAGCCAGTGGTGCTCCGCAGGGTAAATTACCCTCACTCTGCCCTCTGCGTACCCCCCATCCAGTGCTATCCAGTAGCACTTGCTGGCCTGCAAAGAGCACAATGGGAAAGAGAGGGGGGGAAAACACTTCAGATATCAAGTAGCAAAATGGAAAAAGGGCATAAAAGTGGTCTCAGATCAAATAAGAATAAGAAGATGGGCATAGAAGTAATCAACCCCATTGCGTGTCAACTCATCCCTCCCACTGCGTGTCAACTCATCCCTCCCACTGCGTGTCAACTCACCCCATTGAGTGTCAACTCACCCCATTGAGTGTCAACTCACCCCATTGAGTGTCAACTCACCCCATTTAGTGTCAACTCACCCCATTTAGTGTCAACTCACCCCATTTAGTGTCAACTCACCCCATTTAGTGTCAACTCACCCCATTTAGTGTCAACTCACCCCATTTAGTGTCAACTCACCCCATTGAGTGTCAACTCACCCCATTGAGTGTCAACTCACCCCATTGAGTGTCAACTCACCCCATTGAGTGTCAACTCACCCCATTGAGTGTCAACTCACCCCACTGTCTGAGACCTCACCCCACTGCGTGTCAACTCACTTGCGTGTCAACTCACCCCTCTGCATGTCAACTCACCCCGCTTCCTCCCTCTTCCTTTAGATCACGCAGCGAGTGACCCACAGCCGCAAACTGGTTAGCACCGATGCGGTAACCACCCGCCATGACGAACCGGTGCTGGCCAATGGGAGCGCCCGAGACAGGTGGCGGCTCCTGATAGGCCCGCTGCAGAAACGGCCGTTTTGTGAGGCAGGGATTGGATATTGATCCGATGTGGCGCATGTTACCCCCTTCCAGGTCAGCATCTGGGAGGAGAAGGACGGGAAGGGGGAGGAAAAGGATCATGAGGATGGGAAAAAAGGAGGAGGAAAATAAAAATCCGAACAAACAAAAAACAAAAACTAAAAAAAGGCCCTGCTTAGCACCCCTCACCCGTTATAAGCACCTGTTCTGTACTCGAGTTTCCTTGTATTAAGCTCCTCAGGTTGACCCGGTAAAAACACCCCTTGCTTCTGCACCTGCTGCCAAAGCCTCTTATTCAGCTTTGCCTGAGGCGGGGGAGAAAGAAATGGTTTCCGCCTAACAGCTCCTCCCCCACGTCCTCCCCCGATCAACCTTCCCCCCGCTCCCCCTCGCGTCCATCCTTCCCCTTTCCCCTGGTCCGAGCGCCTGGAATTTTCGTAAGAACCGGCGCCATTCCCGCCGTGTTTCGCGCCGCTGGTTCCCGGATGTCCGCGCTGCTGGCGCATCAGCTGCTTCCGCGCAAGCTCCGCGCTGGACTGGCGGAGGAGCTTCTCACGGTCGTAGCTGGCGGAGATGTTGAGAATGGCCAGGAGAATCAGCGACGGCCCGAACAGAACAATACACGTAGTTAATAGCGAGACGCGAGGACGACCTGATGTTTCTCTAGGTGATGCTGCTCCTTCCGGATCAGATTTTCCTGCTGCTGACGGTAACGCGGAGGAGGAAGCGTGTTGGTCTGGTTTATTGAGTACCAGCTTAGCAACTTCTGTTTTACTGGGGACTTTTTGAAACGGAGCGACATTTCGACGGTGTGTCGTCGACGACGAGCCGCTGTCTTCGCCAGGGTAACCCTCCGACACCATTTTCGCTCAGAAAAAAGAAATACACCTGCCGGAAGCTCTGTGGGTAACAGATGTAACAGAAATGACGCCCGAAGCGCCGTCGCAGTATGTTAAACGCGGACACTGAATGACTGCAGGTGTCTCGGCCGACATTCTCCCGCATATACCCTAATGCAGCTAACCAATTATCATTCTGAAGTCGAATGAATAATTACCTCCTTCATGTGCCTCAATTCCAGCAAATTTGGACCTCTGTCAACAAGAGCTAGAACGTCTATTTCTGGTTCCACAAAAAACACTTCATCACGCCATGAGAACTACGCTACCACCAGCCAAATTGGCGGTTACAGAGAATTCTCACGAACTGGGTACCTGGTAAGTACACCAATTAAAGCCACTGGTAGTCAGGTCATTCATGCCAGAATATGATGGTGGCAGTCCTAGTTTGCTGGAGAATAATGCTCAAAGAGTACCTTTAAATATTCTCCAGATAGTCCTGTTGTGAAGTCACACGAGTTAACTTTATGTCTAGTACAAGCGGTTGAGTACGATAATGTGCGTTCTGAAGCGTTTTTCAAGGATAACCGCTTTGTACAGCTAGTCACCATCCTGAAAACCTTGATTCATGAACTGTGAACGAGCTCTTCTGAAGGCAGGTGCAGCATGGCATGGTGGGGTTCGAGAAGCCAGGCTCAACTCTCTAGCAAATGAACGGTTTGGTATGTTCCAGGTAGCACGAGAGCGGTACGGCTAGGTGTCGGGGAGTAAAAGAAGCACCACCTCATCTTACATGTGAATAGAAACGTCCTCAGCTAAACCCTGTGCACTATTTTGGAGTCATCGGATTCAAGGCAGGAGTTATTCGATTCTCCAATCAAATGTGTTGCAGGTCTCTGTTCCGTTCCCGTTGGCACAATCTAGGACCGCAACTTGCACTCTTCCGACCGTCGATCCGACAGATCCGACTGAAGGTCCTCATTTCGATCGTTTTAGTGTACGGAAAATCAGGGCCTCCAGTTGCACCTCGTAGGCCCTGTTCGGTAGCCCTCCCAGTCACACAGCGGTTGGTGCGTGGGATCTTCTGTTTCCTAGATTCAAATCGATTAAGGCCCAACAAACCGTTATTAGAACACCGAGCCTATCCAGTGCAACTGGGCTACCGAACGCATAAAAACCCCACTTCAACTGCGTGCTAGGACACTACCACGAAACTGTCGCGCCCAGGCAAACTCGACAGTCAGTGGAAGTCCCTCCCATTTCAGCTTTCCAGTTCAACCCAGGCAGGCCCGCTCAGAGTGGCAGGCTGGAGGGTATGCGCTGCACTAGTTTCGAATCGGGTCAAATTAAAGCCCGAGTTCAGCATGGTAAAATAACAAGTTATGTGGGTTTGAAATAGTGTTGGCGAAACATTGAAAACAATAATTTCGGCAAAGTCAGTGTAGCGAGAAAGGGATGGGTTGACGAGGGGGAAAGGGGTCTCGCCAAACGTGACGCAAAGATCTGCGACTGGAATGAGTGTCGCTAGGATTGTTCTTCAGCCAATCAGGTTCAAGTAGGGGAGAATGTCCTCGCACAATCCAACTACCAGCAAGAACGAAACGGAAAGCACCTACCCCCTCAGAAGAAAAACCACGGTCAAACAAGCTAACCACTTCGCGTGTGACATAACCGCAGTAGCTAGCAACAACAGAAATTTTTAACGTAGGTGACGTGCCATAACATGTGCATGCGTGGTCGATGAAAGGAGCGTTGAGAAGAGCGCGAAACAGCGCGATATGGGAGTACTGAGGCGACTCGACACGGTGACTGTGGAAGGCGGAGAGGGAGGGGAGAGGCGGAAAAAAGACTGCGTCGGCGGGGGAAATCGGCTCTGATCGCGCGATGGGAGAGCTGTCCGCTGGCGCAACTTGCGGCAGACGCAACGCCAGACGGTGGAGGAGAGGAGCAGATACCGGGGGTGGAATGGGGAAAGGGGGGGAGAAAAACGGGGCCTTTGCGCGCGACAGGAGAGATGCTCCGCTTGTGACGTGATCTGCGGCAGGCGCATTGGCGCGCTTCCGCTCCTTATCACACAGGCGTGCGCTGCTCACGGACAGAGCTGAATAAGGCACGGAAGGGGATTACACGCGGAAGGGTATAACGCGCGGAAGGGGATGAGGCACGGAAATTGATGATGCGCGGAAGGGGATGAGGCACGGAAATTGATGACGCGCGGAAGGGGATGAGGGGCGGAAGGGGATGAGGCGCGGAAGGGGATGACGAGGAAGGGGATGAGGCGCGGAAGGGGATGAGGCGCGAATTCCCCTGATTCCCCTCCTTTCCCCCCTTCCGTCGCCTCATTTCCACCCTTGCTTCCCCTCCTTTCCCCCCCATGCTTCCCCTCCCTTCCCCCCCTAATTCCCCTCCTTTCCCCCCCCTGCTTCCCCTCCTTTTCTCCACTGCCTCCCCTCCTTTCCCCCTGCTTCCCCTCCTTTCCCTCTCTGCTCCCCCTCCTTTCCTCCCTTGCTTCCCCTCCGTTCCCCCCTTGCTTCCCCTCCTTTCCGCCCCTGTTTCCCCTCCTTTCCCCCCTTCCTTCGCCTCCTTTCCCCCCATGCTTCCCCTCCTCTCCCCCCCTCCTTCCCTTCCATTGCCCCCTTGCTTCCCCTCCTTTTTCCCCTTGCTCCCCCTCTTTTCCCCCCTTTCTCCCATGCTAACCCCCTGTTCCCTCCCTCGTCCTATCTCCTCACTTGCACCCTTCCTCTCTTCCGCACTCCCCCCTTTCCTCTCTGTCCCGCCTTTCCTCCCTTGCTTCCCCTCATTTCCTCCCGTGCTTCCCCTCATTTCCTCCCGTGCTTCCCCTCATTTCCTCCCGTGCTTCCCCTCATTTCCTCCCGTGCTTCCCCTCATTTCATCCCTTGCTTCCCCTCATTTCCTCCCGTGCTTCCCCTTATTTCCTCCCGTGCTTCCCCTCATTTCCTCCCGTGCTTCCCCTCATTTCCCTCCCTGCTTCCCCTCATTTCCCCCCCTGCTTCCCCTCATTTCCCCCACTGCTTCTCATCATGTCCCTCCCTGCTTCTCATCATGTCCTTCCCTGCTCTCCCATATCTCCCATATCTCCCCTGTTTGACCTTTTTCTTGTTCCCCTGTTTGACCTTTTTCTGATACTGCAACTCGCCTCAGCCCATCATCCCATGCCATGCTCGTAGAGAAACCAGTTCCTTTCGTGTTTTTTCAAGGCCTTGAGAAAGGTACAATAAGAAGTATTTGGAACATGCCTCTATGTACCCTTCTGATCTGACACTCTTAGTGTCCATGCATCTTGTAAGAATATCTTGCAGTACAGAAACACAAGTACATAATGTTCCTTTGAGATGGATATCTCCAGCAGTAACGGAGTATCTGTTGTTGCATACAACACACAAGAAACAGGTGGTGGTACGGTATAAAGCATCGACCAGCTGCGCCTCAGCTTGCTCCTCTGCTTCACCACTGAAAATTAGGGAAATTGAGTAAGCAGAAAGGATTGTGTGAAGAAACATGGGGGAGGTGGTGTGAGGTGCCACTGAACACCCGCAAGGGGATACAAGCAAGCGCACACGATGAAATCATGTATGGGGAAACAGTGATGGATGGGTGCACATGCATGGGAACTAGAGGGCGGAAAGTGAGAAATGAGGGGGAAGGGGAGGGCATGAAAAGGAAGGAAGGGTTGAGAAGGGATGAGGAAGGGAAGGGTAGGGCAGGGAGGGAAAGGCAGGGATTGGGAGGCCAGGTGGGAACAGGGCAGAGGGTCGGGGGAAGGAGGGCTGAGGGTCGTGGGAAGGAGAGTGAGAGTGCGAGAGGACGGAGAGAGAGTGCGAAAGGACTGAGAGAGGGAAGGGGATGGGGGGAAGCAGGGAAGGGGATGGGGGGAAGCAGGGAAGGGGATGGGGGGAAGCAAGGAAGGGGATGGGGGGAAGCAGGGAAGGGGATGGGGGGAAGCAGGGAAGGGGATGGGGGGAAGCAGGGAAGGGGATGGGGGGAAGCAAGGAAGGGGATGGGGGGAAGCAGGGAAGGGGATGGGGGGAAGCAGGGAAGGGGATAGGGGGAAGCAGGGAAGGGGGCCGGGGGAACGGGGGCAAATGACGGGGAGAGAGCTGGAGGGAGGATGGTGTGGGGGCCGAGGAAGAGAGGACGGGAGTGAGCAGGGTGTTTTAGAGAATTCTCAAAAACACCCTGCAGCATAATGTGCAGACTATGCCATCTCATCCCATGCTCCATCCCTCCATCGCACACAATCCCTCCATCTCACACCATCACCCAATTTCAAATCACCCCCCCGTCTCACACAATCCATCCAACCCCCTCCCATCCAACACCATCTTTCAAACCCCCTCTGTCCATCCCTCTCTCTCCCTCCTCCTCTCTCCCTCCCCCTCTCTCCCTCCCCCTCTCTCCCTCCTCCTCTCCCCCTCCCCCTCGTTCCCTCCCCCACTGTCTCCGTCCCTCTCTCCCTCCCCCTCTCCCTCCCCCTCTCTCCCTCCCCCTCTCCTCCTCCCCCTCTCACCCTCCTCCTCTGTCCCGTGTATGTGGGGTGGAGGAGGGCGGGTATGTCGGGGGGAGGAGGACGGGTATGTGGGGGGGAGGAGGGCGGGTAGGAGGAGGAACACGAGGGCGTGTGGTGTTGGGCGAAGGCGGGTGGTGCGGGGGGAGGAAGGTCGGTGCTGTGCGTGGGGGAAGGCAGGTGGTGTGGGGAGAAGAAGATGGGTGGTATATGTGGGGGGGAAGGCGAGTGGTGCGTGGTGGGAAAGCCGGGCGACGGGGGGAAACGTGGGAGACGGCATCCTGGGGAATCGCGGGCGGCGTGGGGAATTGCGGGCGACGAAGGAAAGCGAGAGAGACGAGGGGGACAGGGGAATTACGGGCGAAGCGGGGATTTACGGGCGACTAAAATATATATGTATATGTGAAAAAAAAAACCAAGATTGATTTTAAAAAGAACGTTTTTTCAAGGGGAATTATGGTCGACGAGGCGAAATAGGGCGACGACCAGGGGAGATGAGGGTGACGCGGAAGGCTTAGTATGGACCTAGTGTGGCCGAGAGCAAGAGACGCGAGGGTGATGGAGAGGGACGACGGGCAACGAAAGCGACGACAAGAGAAGAAGCGAGGGCGGCAGGTAAAGAGGGACGAGTGATCAGTGATGGTAGGGATCGAACGACGGGAGGGAATGTAAGCGGGATCGCGACTAGCGACTCGAAAATGCCATTTACGAGCATTGCGCGTGTCGTGCGCTAGAACGGACGTTCCGTGTCTGGCATGCGAAAATGGTGCGGTAATAGCGTGTTTGGCATGAAGTTGTGCTGCACAGCTATTGGCAAGACAGCGTGAGTGAGTAGAGTTGGATGGAAAAAAACGCCTCTACCAGAGCTAGCCTTTATCGCCCTGCCGTGCGTTTCCTAGTTACGCGAGTAGTCTAGTGGGCTAGGAGTACTACTTGGTCTTCAAGATATGTGAGAGGAGATTGGGGCAACCTAGTGAGCGATGGTCGGATCTGTTGTGCGACTGGGCTCAAAAACCAATCAAGATCGACCGTCGCAAGCGTTTTCCCCTGCCTCACGAGTTGTGTTTCAAACCAAAGAGGGTAACCCTGTTTTTGGCGACTTCAAGTTCAAGAATCTTGAACTTGAAAAATACCATGCTGTACCCGGGCTTTAAGGTTTTTTAGCACGCTCTTTCAAACAATGAGAGGTCGTGCCCGTTCCTGATTTTCCATATCCATATCGACGGTTTCTCATTTGGCGGACTGACTTTTTGTGTGTGGGTGGGGCAGCTTCGTACAGCAGTAAAAGTTTCGGCAAGTAATTTCCCACGAAACGTACGGTAACTTCTTGCATTTGGGAACGGAACTTCTTTTCAGTGTGAGTGGACGCCCGAGGCTGCGAAACATGTCGTAGGCTTCCCCAGTTCGAGTGGGCCCAGTGTAACTGGATGGCTACCGAACAGGGCCGTAGAGTCTGAAGTACAGTCTAAGTCCCAAACCTGTAAGAAATTTGATTCTCTCCACTAAACAAAGCAAACTTGCATCCAGTCTATAGTGATATACCACCAGCTGAAAACTCTGGAACCTGCACACACAATAGAGGAAAGGGAGGCAAACTTGTATTGCTAAGACAGACTTGTGTTCACATCAAGAGAAAAGACAATGCCTTGATGAGTACGAAGAGGAAACGAATGAGAGAAATATTTTAAAAAAGGAAACAATTTCAAACACAAAGCGACCTGCAACTTCTAAATCACAACAGCAGCTTACTGGTCTGGGAGGGAGTGATGAAATCCAGTCAGCAGGACGAGTCGGAAGCAATCCCAATCCATTCAACTGCGTGGTAGGAAAATGCAACCAGGAAAGATAGCTCAAGAAATTATTCGGAAAGAGCTAGCAACCGAAGCAAGAAGGCCTAGAGCTCAAAATTACAAGGAATAGCAAGGAGTAGCTAGGGGGGTAGCAAGGGGGTAGCAAGGGTTGCACGGATAGCAAGGAGTGGTATGCGGTAACAAGCAGTGGCAAGAGAGGAGCACCTTCCAGAGGCCGATGGAGAGGAGGAAGAGGTTGACTGCGGCATACATCATCTTTGGCAGCACCACATCCACCTTGGGGTCCTTGAACGGCTCAAATGCTGCAGGGGAGGAGGAAGGGAAGAAAACCGCACATGAAGCAGCACAGTAACACAAGCGCATGAATAGCAGGCCCACGGAGGAATAGAGAGTTGACTCAAACATACATCTTCTTGGGCAGCCCAACGTCCACCTTGGGATCCTTGAACGGCTCACACGCTGCAGAGGGGATGGGGAACAGCACATAAAACACACACGCATGACGCTCAAGCACATGAATAGCAGGTCGATGGGAAGGAGGGAATGGTTGACTGCCGTGCACATTAGCTTCGGCAGCACCGCACCACGCCCACCTTGGGGTCCTTGAACGGCTCAAACGCTGCAGGGGAGAGGAGGGGGAAGGGGGGGGGAGGGGAGGAGGGGAGGGTAGGGGGATGGGGGGGGTGGGGGGGTGGGGGGGAAGAAAAGCAGATGGTTTTTTAGTCGACTCAGAAGGTACCTTGGGGTCGTTGAACGACGCAGCAGAGGCTGCAGGAGGCGGGGAAGGAAGGGGACCGCCCAAGGGAACTGGAATAGGTGGCAGCGTTGATGGTCCTGAGGGCGGAGATGGGCTGCCAGAGGTTGGAAAGGTAATTCCGATGCTGAAAAGGTGCACTGAGCTACTATAGTTCTGAGACACCCAGAAAGAAGATGATGGTCCGGTAGCAGCGCTGATGGTCCTGAGGGCAGAGATTGGCTGCCAGAAGTTGGAGAAGGTGATTCCGACGCTGAAAGTGTGCACGCTACTAAAATTCTGGGGCACTCAGACATATGTGCAGGCATGGACTGAGACACCCAGACACATGCCTGCATTGATGGTCCTCAGTGCCGAAACCAGTTGCAAGAGGCTGGAGACAGTGACCGTGCTGAAGCTGTGCATTGAGCTACTATTGTTCTGAGACACATACCCGCATTTCTGGTCCGTAGGAGGATACCCGCGGAGACGGATGCCAGAGGATGGAACAGGTGATGCTGCTGCTGAAGATGCAAATAAACACACTAGAAATCAGAAACACCCAGAAACATGTGTAGGCATGAGCTGAGACACCCAGACTGACCAATACCATACCAGCATTGATGGTCCGTAGTGCTGAGATGGGTTGCCAGAGGATGGAGAAGGTGATTCCGATGCTGAAAAGATGCACTGTACTGCCGGCCATCCAGAGCATGAATCCCATCATGAGGAGATTCTTGGTGGGAGACTGGGCCAGAGCCCATGCACGCTGAAAGAGGAAGGGAAACGGGGTCACAAATTGAAAAATGGGATGCTGAAAAGATGCACAGTGCTGCCGGCCATCCAGAGCATGAATTCCATCATGAGCAGATTCTTGGTGGGTGACTGGGCCAGAGCCCAGGCACGCTGAAAGAAGAAGGGAAATGGGGTCACAAGTTGGACAATGGGATGGTGAAGATGTGCCCGGTGCTGCCAGGCCAGCCATCCAGAGCATGAATCCCATCATGAGGATATCCTTGGTGGGAGACTGGGCCAGGGCCCAGGCACGCTGAAAGGGGAGCAAACGCAGAAGAGCACTTCGAATACAGCTGCCAACCATCCAGAGCATGAATCCCAGCATGAGGAGATTCTTGGCAAGTGACTGGCCCAGGGCCCAGGTACGCTGAAAGGAAAGGCAATGAGGAGAGGAAAAACGGGAAACGAGGGGGGAAGTGAACAGAACATGAATTCCATCCAGTTTGCTGTGAAATGATCGGGCCCTACTCACCTCCTGCTTCTTTGCTGGGTCAAGGGCCTTATCTTTCTGTGTCAGCGCCTTGGATCCGCTGCCACTGGACGCCTGATTCAAGCACAGGCGATACAAGAACCACACACTTTAAGCACACGCGATACAATCACACAAGATACGAGTACATGCACCACCTACAATAACAGTGAATACCTAGAACCTGCACGAGACGGAAGCACTTAACGGGCGCATGAGTCTATATCAGAGCCAAAGCGGATCATGGGCCTATCGCGAATTCTGACCGTCTCGGGAACGGTTACACGCATCCGGTTACCAGATTACAGTTACGGGCAGTTACTCGCTCACCAGTTCTGCCGCGTTTCGGTTGAATCCAGGCGGATCGGGAACGTCCCTCGAGATCCCCGACGCCGCGTCCGCCAGGTCGACGGCCCATCGGCGCGCTTCCTTCTTCCCGTTCGCAGACATGCCTCACGACTGTCGCAAGAGTACGAAGTTTCCAGGCGCTGCGACGAACGCCTGAGACGTTTTAACGACAAGCCGAGCGACAAGCTACGACTAACGACGACACGCGAAAATAAACGCAAGCGCAAACAGGCGGTTGCTTATTCGAAAGGATGTCGATATTTTACAAAGACGACGCCAAATGCCCAATATAACGTGCTCCGATATGTCTGCGAGTTTATTGAGACAGTCCCTAACTGACTGACAGTACCACCTAGGGTATGTCGGCACCACCGTACAGCAATCTGACTCCGCTACACCCTGAAGAAAACACCGTTTCGAGATCGCACCCCATATGAAACAGAGATTGACCAGGTAAATTGCAAAATTATCAGCAAAACAAAATTAGGATTTACACCTGCACTGTAGTGGTGGACTGATACACTGTACGGAACCTATGTAAAGCATGTCAGATCTGGACGCACAACCCGTACATTGTTCAGCGGTGGCAACTTTATCTACGGTATACGGAAGACAGGGAACAATGCCCTAACGCGCTCAATTTGACTTCAAACAATTCGCACTCCGTATCCTCCGCAAGTCAGCAAATTGCTGACTGAAGCAGCCGCCTTAATTAGCGTAATCAGGCATGGCCGAGACCATAGGCTGTGCTCTGTACTGTACACCAGAAAGCAGCCTCCACTGCTAAGCTTCTGCTTCACACCCCCAGGTTAAACAAGAAAAAAAGAGGCACTTGTTACAATTCAAACGCCTGCTGCTGGGTGGTAGACAGGCACCTTGCAGGTCTTTCAACTCGGCACCAGCACCGCAGACTGCAGTAGGCGGTAACCAGCACAGCAGAAATGCAGACTCCAGAGCAGGCATGACTGATGAGTCATAACCCAGGTCATGCTTTCGCCCAGCCGTTTAGTACAATACTGTGCTGAGCCATTGACGGAATGGCCACAGGCTGGTTGGCTGTTGTGCAGCAGGACAATGGCAGTTGGTCAAGCAGGAGTGAAAGTCGAAGCATTGTTGTTTCCACTACCGCTTGCACGGCTGGCATCACTGTTGTCTCTACTGCTGCTGTTTGCAGTGCTACCACTGGTACTGTTGCTGCCACTGCCGCTGCCACTGCTGCTGCTTTCAGTGTTGCTGCTGCTGCTGCTACCGGCACTACCACTGCTCCCACTGCTGCTAGTAGCAGCGCTGGGCGGGGCAGTGATGTCGTATTTGCAAAGGGGGCAGGTGGGGCGGGTGCGCAACCACTTGTCAACGCAGGCGGAGTGGAAGTGGTGTGAGCAGGGCAGCTCCCTCAGCAGCACTGCGTCCTCGTATGGCCCCAGGCAGATGCAGCACTCCTGCGAGGATGAGAGGATGGGAAGATGGGAGGGATGGGAGGATGAGAAGGGAGAGGATGAGGAAAACATGAGGGGAAGGGTAATGGGTCTGAGCAGCACCAGCACTGCGTCCCCATGTGCTCCCAGGCAGATGCGGCGATTCTGGGAGAGAGAAAAGGCGGACAACTGTGCATCACAACTGGGAGGGAGCTAAGAGCGAGAAGGGAGAGAGGATAACGCAATGGTGGAAACTGAGGATGGGAAACTCAAGAACACATTCAGAGACTCTGAACGTGGTGCAAAAATGGAATCGCCAAGAAAAGAGTGTGAAGGGGAGGGGGGAGGAAGGGTTGGGGGGAAGAATGGCGAGAGGAGATACAGCAAAGGGAGCTGAGAAGGAAAGTGCCAACCCACCCCATCCCCAACCCACTTCATCCCCAACCCATTCCATCCCCAACCCACCCCATCCCCAACAGACCGAATCCCCGCCCACAGCAACGGGTATCAACGTACCGCATCATCGTCTGCCACTTCTCTCTCCCGCGGCGGCTGGCTCGACCCTCCCACTTGCGTCATAACGCCCCCTGCCGGCTCGTCGATCGTCACCCGAACCTCATCCCTCCCCTCGGCACCCGCACTGGCCGTTCCCTTTCCACTGCTGCCCCCCGTATCACCACTGCTGTTTCCATCATCACAGCTGCTACCCTTCGCCGCACTGCTATTTAGCCCACTACTGCTGCTGGCGTTGGTGGTGGTGCTGCTGCTGGTGGTCGCAACGCCTAGCGCCTCCGTGATGGCGGAAAGGGCGGCGGACGCGGTGAGCGGGCGGCTGCTGCTTGGCGGAGAGCCTCGCCGGCGGAACTTGAACTGCGGGAGGGACTGAATCTGCTCGTTCGTGGCACCTTCCTGTTCGCCCATGGCATAGAGAACCGCGATGATGCAGGGCAGGCAGCAGCACACGGCGATGCCCACCAGACACGCGAGCGCGATGCAGAAGATGACGAAAAACACGTCGAACGCCAGAAACGACATGCACACCCTGCGAATTGGGTTGCCGGGGAAACGGTGGAATTTGAAATGTTATGTCGCGTGAATCACCACCGCAACGACGTCGAGAATGAGAGAGCAAGAAATGACATCCACACCCTGCGGACTGTGATTTGGAAAAACGGTGGATTTAAACGGCTTATGCCGTGAATCACCACCACAAAGACGCCGCATATGGGAGCGTCTAGATGCAAAACCATCAGGAAAGAATGGGAGCGTCTGAGAAAGTTTTACCAGGAAAGAATGGGCGCGTCTTCGAAGGTGTCGTCGAATGTGGAGATGATCCACGCGAACCCGACGGACCACCAGAGGAACGAAAAGACGGTGTTCGCCGACTCGATTTGCTTCGCAATGCTGCGAGCACACACACAGGCAAGAAGAACAGTCCAAGATCCCGGCACTGAGTTGCTGGGTGTTGCACTGGTACCATCAAGCAAAGCGACGACCGACGACCGAAGAGCGACGACCGACGACCGACGACGACAATGATCACAAAGATAACATCGCCGTTACTTTTGCGTCGCGCCTCGAAAAGGCCACATATGCGTTCGCCAGCAGTACCTGTCAATCCGATCATCTTCTATCCGCTGCTCCCCCGTACTCCCCTCCGCTTCCTGCTCCTCGTCATCGCTCCCTCTTTGCAACAACCCCTCTCGAATATCCCCCGAACTCCCACTCCCCCCTGCTCCCCCTCCCCTGCCTCCCCTCCCTCCTCCTCCGCTCGCGCTCCGCAACCCGCGGAGCCCTCGTCTGCTGCTCCTGCTCGCTCCGCGGCTCCTCCTCGCCCGGCTCCGGTCGCTCCTGCGCTCCTCCGCTCCGCCTTGCTGCCGGCGGTCGAACTCCACGAGCACGCAGACGATGTGGATGATGCACTGCGCCGAGTACCCCATGAGCCACACGCCCAGCGGAGCGGCCGGTTCCTCCTTGTGGTTGCGGCTCACGGAGAGCGTCGCGATGGCGACGAGAACGAAGATGAGGTTCCAGAGCGTGTCGAGGAGCACGATGGGACGGGAATAGGCCCAGTTGCTCTGGCGCTCTTCCAACTGCAGCAGAGAGAGAAGACAGAGCAGGACAGAGCAAGAAGATGAGGTTCCAGAGCGTGTCGAGTAGCACGATGGGACGGGAATAGGCCCAGTTGCTCTGGCGTTCTTCCAGCATAAAGAAAACGGCATAAAGAAAGAAACGAAGAGAGAAAACTAGGTACGGCGAGAAACGGAAAGGTGACAGAACTTTGACAAGAAACAACAAGAAAGAACGTGTAAAGAAGGAGCTCATCAGCTGCGTACCTCTTCCGACGCCGTATCGCGAACCCGTATGGACTGCTGCCGCATCAACCGCTGGCTGCTCGCCTGACGAATCAGCCTCGCCGCTCCTAACGCGACCGCACCTCCCGTTCTAGGCACCGAACCCGACGGGACTGCTCTTGTCTCGCTTCCTGGTGATAATGTCAAATCCTCAGATGAATTTCCGCTCCCTATACTTATCAGTCGAAAACTACTGCTATCGCCGGCGATGGCTCCCCTGAGGCTCTGACTCCGACCGCTTCTGTTTCGACTGCTTCTGCTAGCGTTAGTCGCGTCGCTGTTAGTATCAATGACGGTATCCATGGAAGAGACTGGCTCCATGATTTGCGCTCTATCTGTGACGCTGTCACGGATGTCACGGACGCTATCTGCAGAGATGTTCCTATTGGTAGAGTCAGACTGGCCTATTGGCTCGAGACTAGAGCTTGGAGAGGTAGCGTCACCATCGTTTCTTCTCTGTTGTGACATCACGTTAACGAGGTCCCTAACAGGCGTCGCAATAAACTAATGAGAAACCTGAGATGGAGATTCTAATCCTAGCACTCCTTTACTCTGGACCTGCATGAAACTCCAGGATTGGCGAAATAGATTTAGGATTCGTACACAGAAGCACTACAAATGAACGTGCACCAGGAACGGAAACTCACACGAGGATAAAGCTCCCTTGAATTCGAAAGATCACAGCTAGCTGATGAAAAGAGAACCCAAAAGCAACAGAAGTCAGCCACAGACCCTGTTAGGACCTGGCTAATTTGTTCAAGCAAGCATGTCTCCCTTGTCTCGAAATCAAGCTCAGCAAAACTCCGACAGGAGAAAGAAGCGGAACATAGAGGGATGCTACTGTGCTGAGATAAGTGGCCAGGAACAGTGGCAGGGGGGTGCTGGTGGTGAAGAGTGTCCCTTTTAGAACAAATTTCACCGTATTAAACCGTTTTGAAGGCCTGTGCATCCTTTTGTTCCAAAGTGGATTCAAGTGCTCTGTTCGTTCAAGATGCAGCTCTATCCAGCTTTCTGAAGGAGTCGAGGCTGTACAGTACGTAGCTGCTCGGCAAAGCTCCTCCCCTTCTTCGTTTTGCCCTGGGAGTTCCGCGAACACCCTTGATTTTGCAAAGCGGGCGGAGGATGAGGTCGGGGAGCGGGGTTGCAGGTTTCGGATTGGAGGGAGATGCGGAGATTGGTTCACGGGCGCGGAATTGGGGGGATTATGTGCAGAACTGGATTTCGAAGGCGGTGGCTTGGAGGGAAATCAGCATGGAAAGTGGGGTGCACGGGCAGCATGTGGGGCATTGAGGCAAAGTGGACGAGACGAAACTCGAGAGGGGAGTCGTCGATGAGGGAAATTTTGAGGATGCGAGCAGCAAGTGGAGGAAACCGGGATTGAACAGCCCAGGCATTCCTTGCGAAGGCGTTCCGACTTCTCTGACGACGTCTCACATATAGGTCTTAGAACCATGCTTAACCACGGAAATTACTTCTCCATATTTTTGTACCAAACAAAGTACTGCTGGAACCGTACTGAATGAATCATTCTGACATCCCTGATGAGGTCAGGCAGGGTGGAAAGCGAGGGCTATTGCCGACTTCGGCTGGAAGCAAGAAACGTTCCGCTTGGTGCGCAGAAGTGTGGTTGGTGGGTCTGTGCTGTGGTCGTCTGTGCAAAACGCCAGGGAACGCGTTTCGTTGAATCGGAGGGCGCAGCGCTGCGCAGCAGGACTCAGGTCAGGAGGAACCCAGCCCTGGCTGGTCAACACATTGAGTGGACGCTACGGTGGACTGACTTGTGTCGTATCGCACGCTGCTACGACAGGTGCGACAGCGACTCGACAGCGGAACCTTCTCCAACGGAGGCTCGGGAGATTGGGCTGTGTGAAAGCTGTTCGTGACTGGCGGGCAGCAAGAGAAATGAATTTCGCAACTGCCGATGTAGGACAAAGCGGCAAAAATCAACAGCAAAACCAAACGAGCCACCTCAGACGCGAAGCATCGAACCTGTCGCTGAATGCAATCCCTGGTTCCAGTGCGTCGCACAGAGAAGCAATGGGCGGTGTATTCAAGCCAACCGCAGTGTGCTAAAAACGATGAGTTCGAGGGTGACAGTAGCGCAGCTCTAGCTCTCAGCGAACTTCTATATGGATGCTCAAAGTTGCTTATGCAAGTTGCAGAGAACAGGCCAGCCTTTGGCGAGTACAATGATGCTTCTTGCCAAAGCAACCCTAAAAACTGATCAAAGCAGATTTCTTTCGGATATCCCTGCTTTGCCAACCATATTAGAAAAGAGCGACTTGCCTAGCCACCGCCTCGAACACACCAAGTTAGCAATTCGCGAATTCGCCAGCGACACCTTTGTTTGAGGTGCTGTAAGCGCATCGTTACAGCACTGCAGGTGCATTTGCCTCCTTGTCGTAGACTTGCACTAGCTCCAGATTCGCCGGAGGAAATGTCCAAGTCCTGCAAGGGCCTGGCGTACGAGCTCGTCAAGTGCGTCGCGGAAAGCCCGTGCGTGAAGGTGAGAGGCCTTGCGAAAGTGAGAGCTTTTGCAAAAGTGAGAGCTTTAGCGAAAGTGACCATCGCCGGTTTTCTTGTCAACGAAAATCACCATCTTTCGTTGGTAATCCGCACGTGCTCTCTTCGTCGCAGTCACCGCTATTTCCCGCACAAACTCGATTCCCGGTACATCCTATCACAACCCTCTTCATCCTGACCGTCCGGCTTATCGTGCTTCAGGAGCAGGGTCGGCCGGTGCAGGAGTGCGCAGGAAAGCAGCCGCCTGAGATCCCCTCCAAGTGTGTGGGGCTGAGGGAAACTTACGCCAAGTGCAAGAGAGGGCAGGTGAGATGCGAGAACGAATTTTCAAGGGCAGGTGAAGGCCAGTGAGGGCAGGTGAGGGCCGGTGAGCTCAGGTGAGGGCGGCTGAGGGTAGTTGAGGGCAGAAAGGTGAAGAGTGGAGCACGGGTGCGTTCCGGACGGGCGTCCGGTTGATTTGAGGTGAGGAAGGAATTTGTGCCAGAAGTGGATGTGGGGTGAGGAAGGAAACCGTGCTGAAAGTGGATCTGAGATGAGGAAGCTGTGCTCGATGTGCATGCAAGAGTGGGCAGGCAGGTGAAGTGTGGGTTTGGCGGTTCAAGGGGGCCCACTGGGATGTTCTTTTGGGATCTCCGGCCATTATATCTGGAGGGTTTCGTATGTGAGGTGCAAGATAGGAGAGTGTGCGGCTGAAGGGGGCTGGTGAGGTGCTCTTTTGGAATCTCTGGCCAGTGTATTTGGGATAGGGATCCGTATTTGAGGCTGAGGGGAATGTGCAGCTAAAGGGTGCCATAGATGAGCATTTCTGTTTTGGCCATGCATTGCAAGTTTGCATGAGTAATGGAACCTTTTTCACTCTGTGCATGTGTGAACCTCTTGCAGGTGGACATGCGAACACGGATTCGAGGCAATAAAGGGTACTAGATGTATCACATTGTATAGGTGGGAACAAAGTCAGCTTGGAAGCAGAGTGTTGTTGCCAGGACGGAGTTTGAGAAAATGGAAACTGGCTTGCCAATACCCATATGGTGAGTGATTGCAATTGCAATCATTACGTGGCTGTTGTGAAGCTTTTTAGTGTGCTGATTGCAGTGCTTATTGTTGGTCTCTTGATTTTTCTTGCAGGTTCCTGTTTCTTGCTGCTTAGAGCTTTGTCTTGTCATTTGGTAGTATAACCGAAGGCAATTGTTGGGAAGTGTATTGCTGCATTATATTGTGTACTAGAGCGGGATATTTATTAAGGAGTGGAATTGTTGTGCAACGCAATGTCGCTTCTGAGCATTTCTAGCTTCCTGACGTGGCGGGATTTCAAGTACTTATGACACAACGTGATCTTTTTTCAGTGCATGTCTCTTTAGGGGTGATGTCGTCACTAATGAGATCCGCATGCGCGGCTCGTGCGAGCCATGAGCCCATCAGGACACGGCATCGTTGCGAATTCTCTCGATCAACTTTCCTCGCATCCCACTCAATCGGTCGCACAGTACGAGGCTTTTGGCATGTCAATGCGTCGCCAGCTTTTCGCCTGCACGAATCAGTTTCTGGATGTGCGAAATTTGCGTCAGAATTTTCGCCGTACAGCCTGTGGAACGCATTTTAAAGGTCGCGATCGTGGAAAGCTGCTGCTGCTCGTCGAATCTTAGCTCACTATTTCAAGTGGTTGAAGAGATTGCTTCAGAAGAGGACGAAAACGAGGAGGCAGAAGGTCGTTATATGACCAGGTAGCTTGCTGGCGTGCACGGTTAGTAGCTTCTTTATGCTGCGTTGATTACAGGCTGCTTCAGATTCTAGGCGGTGCAATACTCCAATTGTCAAGGTCGGCTTTAATCCGCGTCAGTGCGGATTTAGGTTCTTGTGCTACAGCATGGAGCACATGGTAACGAAATTTAGACTCAATACCGGGGATGAGATTCCGGCTGTGGGATTGGGGACGTGGAAGATTGCACCTGAAGATGCTGACATGGCTGTGTCTGCTGCTCTGGAGGTAAGTGTGTGCATCTTGTTAGTTTCTAAACAAAACAAAACCAAGAAACGAAACAATCTTGATTTTTTATATATATTATTCTTCTTGTTACACCTCATCTCCGTGTTATCGTCAGGCTGGTTATCGTCACTTTGACTGCTCTCCAAAGTACAACAACGAACCTGAGGTGCGTGCTGCCCTGTACAGGGAGAAACCTGAGCTACGTGCATGCTCTCCTTATTGCAACACTCTGTCCCCATTGTCCAGGGTTTCAGCAGCCAATGAGTGTCCACGTGAACCTGTGCTGACATGGCTTCCATGCCATGCCATGTCAGCAGATTGGGAGAGCATTGGAGGATGGCGTGGCAAGGATGGGAATTGACCGCAAAGACCTCTTTATAACCTCCAAGCTCTGGTAGACACTAATTCTCGCAAGTTATTCTGGCAATTTATACTTTTTTTTCCTCACCGATCTCCTTTCTCTAACAATCCGTCCCTCAGTCAGCTCCACTGTTCCTCCTACATCACTTCTTTCCATGCCTCTTAACCTCTTCCTTCCCCTGCTCACCGCTCTGCACCCATGTCATTCAGGCCTACAGAATTCTCCCCTCCTGACGTTCTCCCAGCGCTGCAAAGGACTCTTCAGGACCTCCGTCTTTCCTATCTGGACCTCTTTCTGGTAAGTCTCTCATTCCTCGAATTTGTCAACACAAGCCCAGCATTTCGTTCCCAAGCTCCCTTTTCCCTTCCTTCCAAACACCCCTGTTTTTTTTCCTCCTTTCAAACGCGTTCCCTCTCTCAGCTTCATGTACCAGTGCAAATGGCAAAGCCTTGGCACTCTCCCCCTAGGAGGGAGGACAGGGTGCTGACGTGGCAGATGGCTGCCACGTGGCAGCAGATGGAGGCAGCAGTGGAGCATGGCCTAGTCCCGGGCCATCGGCGTCTCCAATTGGTCGGTGACGAGGCTGAAGCAGCTGCTGAGCTGGCAGCCTGTGCACCCGCCAGCTGTCAACCAGGTGGAGGCGCATCCTCACTGGCGGCAGGATGCCTTGCTGGCATTTTGCAGGGATAAGGGAATACACGTGTCGGTGAGTGAGTGGTGGAACATTCCTGCATGCACTGGGTATGTATATATGTAGAGATATGTACGCATACATATCGTCAGACTCAATTCAGCATGTGCATGGAATGTACATGAGCGCAAAAACTGTGAGCCCTGCTTTCCGGTTTCTCCCGTTTATGCGTTACGATGCATGCACATTGAATATGCTAGATACAATAGGTTGCCTTTGTCTGCCCTTCTTCCCTTCTATGCTTACACCAGGCTGACGCACCTCCCCTTACTGCCTACCTGCCCCGTCCTCCGTCCCTTCTCACACCAGGCCTACGCCCCTCTCGGTTCCAGGGATCGCCCTGTGTATGACGAGTCCCTCATGCCTCCTGTGCTTCTGGACCATCCCTTGATTAAAGAGGTATGTGGTGGGGGTATGCGCAAGGGGAGAGCCTACTAACTGTGAGGGGTCAGTGAATGGGCCTGGGAAAACCGAAGACGCATTCAGCCATATACATGTTGAGCTTCAGATCAAGATTCATGTCGGGAGTAGCAGCAAACGGAGTGAATGGGCCTGGGGGAACCGTAGACGCATTCAACCGTATCTCCTCGTTGAGCTTCAATTTACTTCTTGTCGTCCTTTTGCTTGCATCTCCTTCATTATCTTCTTCTCATCCTTTTTACCACTCCGTTTTTCTGCCTTGCCACTAACCATTTCTCTACCGTGCTTGTCTACTATCAGGTGGCTAAGAATTTGCACCAATCTCCAGCGCAAGTGGCTCTGCGGTGGGGCATACAGAGGGGTATGAGCGTGCTTCCTAAGAGCAGCAACCCGTGGCACATCAAGGAGAACATTGGGCTGTTCGACTGGAACATACCCCCAATGGACTTCCATGCACTCTCCCTCATCGAACCCCAGGTGAGAGTTGGATTATATTTCTAAAGGGAACCCATGGCACCAAGTGTTCTCCCTAAGAGCAGCAACCCGTGGCACATCAAGGAGAACATTGGGCTGTTCGACTGGCGCATACCTCCAATGAACTTCCACGCTCTCTCCCTCATCGAACCCCAGGTGAGGTTGTGTGATCCGTTTTAGGCCTCCACGTGATAACCCAATAGTATATTGGTCTGTTCGATTGGCACATACACTCAATGAACCCCATGTGAGGTGAAAATTCCTGATGAGGTGGTAAGTTTTCATTTGAGGCGGATGTCTGCCCTCCCTAAGAGCAGCAACCCATGGCACATCAAGGAGAACATCGGCTTGTTCGACTGGCACATACCCCCAATGGACTTCCACGCACTCTCCCTCATCGAACCCCAGGTGAGAGTTGGATTATATTTAAAAGGGAACCCATGGCACCAAGTGTTCTCCCTAAGAGCAGCAACCTGTGGCACATCAAGGAGAACATTGGGCTGTTCGACTGGCGCATACCTCCAATGAACTTCCTCCCACTCTCCCTCATCGAACCCCAGGTGAGGTTGTGTGATCCGTTTTAGGCCTCCTCGTGATAACCCAAGAGGATATTGGTCTGTTCGACTGGCACATACACTCAATGAACCCCATGTGAGGTGAAAATTCCTGATGAGGTGGTAAGTTTTCGTTTGAGGCGGATGTCTGCCCTCCCTAAGAGCAGCAACCCATGGCACATCAAGGAGAACATCGGCTTGTTCAACTGGCACATACCTCCAATGGACTTTCACGCACTCTCCTTTGTAAAACTCCTGGTGAGGTTCATAACGTCACCCTAGGTGTGGTGGTAAGGTTCCGGCCTAAAAGGGGATTGGATGTGCTCCTCTAACAGCAGCAACCCATGGCGCATCGATGTGAGTACTGGCTTGTTCGACCAGCACATAACCCCAATAGACTTCCAAGCACTCTCTCTTATAAAACCCCAGGTGAGGTCAAAACGTCACCCCAGGTGAGGAGATGGCTCCGTTTTAAGCCTGCTCGTTTTTAACTTTATTCAACTTGCCAACACCTCCAGTCGTTTTTTCCTGCCCGTACATGCACGCGCAGGTTCGCATACTTGTTGGAGAGAAGTGGTGTGTGACTTTTCCATTGTTTCTTCATACTCTGCCTTTTTTCTGCCCACACATGCACTCACGGGTGCACATTTTGGACTACCACAGCTATAGGATCGGAGTGTTATTTTAGTCGACTCAAAAAACACATTGTTTCATCACACTGTGCCTTTTTCCTGTCTTCACAAGCACATGCACATGCAGGTACTGCATACTTGACTAACTGCTATTGGGTCGGAAAGGGCCGGCCCTTTTTAGAACCCGAGGAGCTCTGGAACTGGGGGGCACAGTTGCTTGTCTGTGTTTCCGAATTGTTTGTCATGCCGTGCCTTCACATACACGCGCAGGTTCGGATACTGGACTACTATGGCTACTGGGTCGGAGACAGCCGGCCCTTTCTAGAGCCCGAGGAGCTCTGGAACGATGAGGCGGATAAAGTGGGGGAGGGGGACAAAGTGGGTGAGGGGAACAGGAAAGCTTCAAACAATGACGAGTGGGAGGAGTGATGCAGGTAAGGTTTAATTCTTAGGCGTAACATTGGCTTCCTTTCCCCATCGGGCACACAAGTTGTCCTTTCATGCTGTTATCAAATCGTGTGCATTGTGGTTAGTGCATTCTCGCACGATTAAATGTCGATGCATGGAAAGTGGATTGGCAGGTGTTGTGTTGTGCACCGCCAGAGCTAGAAACATCTCAAGCGCCCGAGTCCAGTCTGGTTATCTTGATCGTTTAATCGCTAGCAGCTCGGTATTGTGCATGATACATTACAGACGGATCATGATTCATTACTTTCGCAGGCAACATGATCATGATTGGCTTTTTTTTGTCAAGATGCAAGTACTGGTATCATGGCTTTCCGCCATCCATGTGAAAATAGTGCATGCCTGATTAGTAACGATTACATGGAATGCTACACTCCCTCAACCATAACACCACCTGGTGTGCGCCCTTAAGGAAATCAGGCGTTCAATCAGGTTGAAATCGATAAAGCATAATGTTGGTTCTCAGCCCAACAGCATCCATGTGTTTTCGTATACACACCTTGGCAACATCGCATGGGCACTTAGTAATTGTACCATGTTTGGACGAAAATAATCGCTGTCTACCAGTTCAATCTTAAACTACAGCGTGTTTATCCAACATCATGGGCAGAATTCTTCAATTACCATTGTGAAAACTTTATTGTTGAAAAGTATGCTATGCATAATGTTTGTTATAATAGAATGAAGCGCACTCATTAGCAGAAAGGGGCTTTGTTTGGATGCTGTATTCAGGTCCACCTTCTTCTGGGGATTTATCGCTTTCTACGGGTTGACTCGTCGACGTGGCTGTAACAATCGTGAGGTTGCCAATTTAGCTAACCAGCGCACGCCATCTGGAAGATTTGGAATGAACGGTGAATGAAATGCACGGATGCTGCCCTGTTTTGAAGGGAGATGAAGCCCGAGGGAGGGTGAACCTGTGAAGGCCGAATCCATTTGATGGATGTTGCGCGAGAGCTTATCTTCGTTCAGAGCGACTCGAATCTAGTTGCTGTGAGCCAGTACTGTAAACATTTCTGGTCAGCTGATTGGGAAGTTGACCATGCGCGTGCGAACTTGTCATGATAAGAATATATTGTTCACATCACCCTTTGTTGCCAGGGACAACGGGACGGGCGGGGCATCTTGGGATGGAGGGGGACGGCTGATTGAACAACGACTAGATTCAACAAGTGCAGTCGATGCCCATTTCAAGAACATCAGGTAGGCGGGCGGCATGTGCGTGAAACGTGTTAAGGGCGTTTCGCCATATTCGCCCTTGTCGTCACGGGCAAAAATGTGACAGTGATAAGAAATTGCAACGTGAATTGAGTCAAGGGTCTTAATTTCGTAACCAGGTGAACTTATCTGATGACGGCGACCGCCGTTGTTCATGTCGAACGCCTTATTCACTCAAGGGCAAAACGTTCGCGAGTGACTAGATTTCTAATTGTGAGGAGCGAATGTTTTATGATAGTCTGAGTATCGACTGTACTGGGGTCCTGACTCATCATGGAAGCAGGTGTAGTGATGCGCTGTAACGCAGCAACGAATGCGGAAGTGGATCTGCGAGGCGAAGAACATCCCTGAGTTGTCCTCTGCCTTCATGCATCCACATTCAGCTTTCGCGGTGCTCTCAACGCGTTTTCGCGCATGTTCGCCCAGCACGATGTTTTGCACTTCGCCGTGTTGCTCTGTGGCTCCTCTCACGGGGAAAAGAGTGGGTCGGGGAAGAAGTGCGTTGAGTGGAATCCCCTGAGTCTTTTGGAGCGCAGCAGGAACAGCAAGCAGCTACTGCTAGCTCTTGCTGCTGTACTTGGCCATGAATGTTCGGGCTTGCCTTGGGCAGCTTTGAAAAACTTGCAGAAAAACCTTCCAACCGACGCTTTTCTCCACTTCAAAGTATTTTTTTTTTCTTGAACTAGTTTTGCGCCAAGTACGTGCACTGTACTACAACACTATACTCCTTTCCAGAAGGAAGGGAGACAAAGGTTGGATGGCCTGGGCAACCAAGGGCTACCTCCCTCCCTCTGGCTCTAAATTGCGGCCAGCTCCCTTTTCACTGATCACCACCATTCACGATTCGCGTCGCACGTCCCTTGGATCTACAAAACAGAACAGTTCAACACTGTACAGTGCCTCACAATATTTCCTAACCTCATTTCACCACCAACCCCCTGACCTGACCCCCCCTGCTCGTTCTTGTCAGAAAGAGTCCCCTCAAGCGTTTCGCCTCGTCAATTCCTCCCTTCCTCTCCTTTCATGTCTTGTGTGTGTTGTTTCATGCAGTGCCGCTTCACTGGACCCCCAGGATAGGACCCCCAGCTCACAGCCCAAGCCGCTCAGCCTCTTGGATACTCCTACAGCTTAGAATACCACTCGCCCCAGGAGTTCAGGTCCCGTACATTCGATCGGCGTCATGTCGTCGACGCGTTGTGTCATCCCTGCATCGCGCGAATCTCGAGAGATATCGCACGCCGTCGCCCACACGCGTGGCGAAGGCATGTCGAGCAACTCGTCCAGCTGTCGGCACTGCTGGGTCGCGAACGAACGGAGCACATTATTTGATGCCAAATCCGTTCTTTTCAGCCTTACTAGTGCACCAACTTACGCGAAACGCATGTGGTCGACATGTGTGATCATAGACCTATAAGATATTTTAGCGGTCGTTATTAATTGCCAGCCAGAACCAGTAGCGCCACTTGGACCGAAGCTTTGGTCCGTCGACTCGATTCCTGCTTCCAGTCGGCCGCCCTGGCCGGTTATCTCGTCGTTAGTTAGCGGTTTCTAAGCAAAGTCGTACGCAACACTTCCTAGACCCGCGCTAAGCTCCAAGTGCGCAAAGCGCAATAGCAGTAGAAGCCGGACTCGCGTACCTCCTGGTTCTCCGCGATTGACCCTTAAAGATATTTCTGGGCCTGTTCATTACATCCCTAAACCTCAGCAGCTTTTACCCTTTCTAGAAGTCCCCTTTTCCTTTCTCACTCGATATCACTCTCCATCTCTCTCTCTTCGAGGGGAGAGACCTAGGATATATTATCTCAATTCCATCCGTCATAGCCACTCAAGTTCCGATTCTGTAGTAGCTGTCAGCAAGAAGCACTGAAGAGTTCATCAGTTGTTGAGTTAGATTGAGGCGGCTTTGTCTGGAGATTGGAGCACACAACCATGACGATTCCAGCTTTCCCTAAAGCTGCTGCTACTCACCAGCACGGCGGCGCTGCGTCTTGTTCTGCTGCTGCTACTAGCAGCACCCCCATCAGCGGCACTGGGCTCTTGGATTTACCCCTCGACACCATCTGCACCATTCTCCACCGCTTGAAACCCAAAGATCTCATCGCCGCCTCGCTGACGTGTCGCACCCTGCACGGGCTCATCGACCAGCCCAACACGTGGCTGACTCTCTGCCGGAAGTGGGAGGGCCAGCTGGCGCTCAGCGAGTGGCTCGTGCATGCGAACTCGGCGAAATGCCTGTTTCGCCTGTTACACACCTTGAGTCCTCTGGTGGGGGTGTGGGCCGCGGAAGATCTCGCTCCCCGGGGCGGGCTGCTATACGTCACATGGGAGCGCATGGCGGTTGTCGCTTATCGAATCATCCCCGATTGGCTTGGTAAGTTTGCTGCTATCAGCTTCTCGAGCCTCTAAACGCGATTCGGCTCCTAGATCCCTCCCTTCCCCACCCTTACCCCCCTCTCCTCCTTTCCTCTACCCTCCTGCCTTCCCGCGAACAACCTATTTCCGGAACCATGTGTTAATCTTCCAATATCCCCGTTTCTCTCGTCTTCCTCCCCCACTCCCCCTCTCCCCCCGATCCCCCTTCCCCCCCGCAGACGGCAATCTCATCTCCGCGCGCCTCTTCACCATCTCCGCCTTCCCCGACGGCACGACGCAGCTCAGCCTGGTCACGGGGAGGGGCGCGGACGACGAGTTTCCGCTCGAGCTCCCCGGCGTGCTCGTCTGGGAGTCCCCCGCGCGCGCCAAATTCCACCTGCAGACGCTCCTCCCGCCGTCGTCCCGCTCCCCCGCGAGCTTCGCCGCATCGCCTTTCGCCAAGGATTGCTGGTAACCGGGTGTCGTCGTCGCCACCGGCGGCGCCGCCGAAAGGGGTCGTCGCAGGGCCGTCGTCGCCGTCGTCGGTACTATCGTCGCTGTCGTCGCTGGGCGCTGCGGAGAGGCTCAAGGCGACGTTTCAGCGAGCTGGTCTGGCCCGATTTGCCGCTACAGCCGGACCTCTCTCGTCGGTGCTCCCGACTGCTTCAGCTTCCTCTTCTACTACATCCGTTACTCCTTCCGCTGCTCGCGCAGCCGTGCCTTCTTTACCCCCGCGTCCTCCCTCTAGCCGATCAGCGGGCAGCAGTGGCCTCGTCTCAACCTTGCAGCAACAGCAACAGCAGCAGCAGCTTGAAGCGAGCCGCGCTACAGCATCGAGTGGAATTAGTCGACTTCAGCAACGATTCGGCCAATCGGGGCTCAGCATCGGCGGCGCTAACCTCCTCAGAGTGGGAGCCGTTAGTCCCACGGGGAAGGAGGAACAAAGCTCGAAGCGCCTTCAGCTTCGCGCTCTGCAATACCTGACCGGGTTGAAACAAGATTCCGGAAGCTCTCCGTCGAAGGCAGCCGCGGCGGCGACTCCATCCAAGCGTACTAGATCCGAGTGTGACAGCAACGAGGCCTCGCCTGACGAATCTAGAAGGAAACGGTCACGGACCTGCAGTGTCGACGTCGCAAGCACCAGCGGAACTACGGCGTTTTCTCCCCCGCAAGTGGCTTTTTCTGCTTCCAGCGGTTCTTCCGCGGGGGCTTCTGCCATGGCTTCCGCCGCGGGGAGTTCCGCCTCGGCTGGGCCCTCCGCCAGCAGCGCGGAGTGGTCGCTGAAGCGGCGAGCGTTTGGCGCGCTTCATTATGCGGATGAGACCCAAAGCCTTGGCGCACGTATGGGGGCTGGCGGAGGGGCGTTCGCGGGATTCGGCGGAAGCTCCAGCGGAAAGGTTGATATGCGCGGTTGTGGTGGGACTGTGTTCGGGCAGCTAAAAGGGAGCCAGCAACCGTCGGAATGGTCCGACGGGCAGACGAAAAGGGTACCTGTACCGAAGTCCACCTATCATCGTGTGCCTGTTGCGGGAGAGATTCAAACAAACAAATCAGCGAGAGCATGCGACACGGACACCTCCGGAACGGATTTATCCAGATCTCGTTTGCCCCCGTGGGTGCGGGATCTTGAGGGCCTCTGGACGGGTGTGTTCGGGCAGCATGGGGTGGAAATTCTTAACGTCGCGGTTGAGAGCGGTGAAATTGTTGCAACGAAAATCGTTGGAGATCCCAATGTTCCCGGAGGGCATGTTTCGTTCAAGGCTCGGATTGACTCGGTGCAGACTGCTGCTGACGATAGTGACCGGTGGAATCAAGTGGTGGGCCAGGCGAGGAGCCTGATCCGGGCGCAAGGGCAAGCCGCGGATCCTGCTTTGGGTCAACAGCTTCAGTTCTCTAACTTGTGAGTATATGTTCATGCTTGCATTTCCTTGTTTTCATGCCCTGTTTTCATCAGCACACTTTCTCCATCTGATGAGGCTGCTTCTTGTGTTTCCTGGTCTTGATCCCATTGTTCCTGGTCTTGTGACTCATGTGTTTCCTTTCCCATTTTGCTTGGTCTGTTTCTCTTGCAGGTTGGAAGGGGAAGGGAGAATAGCAGACTACAACTTCAAGAACCCTCAATGGGTGAATGGAACTTTGTTGGTTGACTCAGCTGGTCGGATCTCTTTCCTATGGGAGGAGTTGAACTTTCTTGTTCAAATGAAAAGGCTACACGTGGAGGAGCTCCTCTTTAATGCATGAATCCCTGCTATTTGTGAGCCAAGTACATTTCGTGCTCAAAGTTTTTCCGTCTCTTAATGAGACGTTTGTTTGTTGGGCATCCCCGCTACGTGCGTATTATTTCATTATACAAAACTATGCTAATTTGCCCTAAAGCTTGAGTAGTCTTGTCTTAGAGAAACTTACACAACAGAGTCTAGTGTGTATTTGCTGCACTCTCGTGAAACTACAGAAGGGGCTCACGAAGCTCCACGATGCTCGCACGAGCTGCGTGTGGCTTCGCGATCGACACCCAAATGCTGACACGGCTCGCAGTCGCTCTGACGCTGCAACTAGCCCTACATAATCAGGTCGGTGGTGACGTGGAGTGGCGGAAAGAAGGAGAGCGAGAGTAACCATCTGAAATTCTGACGCGTCACTCGATAACAGCTCGGCAGGTCGCCTTGCTGGACTTGGTGGTGACGTCCCGCTCAGCATCCCGCAGGACGCATCACCAGAAATTTACCCAGCCCTCCCTCAGACGTGAGCTGGGAATCTGGGAAGCTGGGATTGAAAGCATCGGTGGTTTGTACCATCAGTGATTTGTACCATTGTAATACCATTTTCATAAGCATTTATGCTGGATTCCTCTCTGGACTAGAGTATTTTTCTGCGTACTAATTCAGGACTCTGTTCCGGGCGTGTGGGAGCTGTGTGCGGACTCCAGACCAGAGTTAGGTTCTTCCTCTAGCTCATACTTCCCTAGACTGCCATGGCGTCTGCAACTGTCGCCAGTATTTCCGCCCCAGTCTCCGCTGTCTTCAAGAGTCAACCCTCGGAGAGAAGGTCACTCAGCTCATCCACTTCCCTCGTGGCACGGCGGCTTCCGTCCGTTGACCTCCAATGCCGATTCGCTTTGAGAAGACCCACCCAGATTAACGCAATGCTCGGCGGAGGTATGTCGTAACTCACTAGCCAGTTCTCATAATCTGGCGATGGCATGTTTGGGTGCTGCTTTCTTCTTCAGCTCAATACCCGGGTTCTCGCTCGCACAATTCTCGACTAGCAGCCCTTCGCCTGCTGAATGTATTGCCTTCCATGACCATTTAAATCCGTCCCTCAGGTGACAACAAGACTGAGAAGAAGAAATTTATCACCCAAGCGGAGGAGCCTGAAGAGTAAGTTTTCCCTTTTTTCACAGTGATACCAACTGCTGAGAACATGCCACGATACAGTATTTCGGTCAACCACATGCTGTTTTCCCAGGTGCCGATTACACGAACAGAACAATCTAGCAAACCGCACATAATGCACAATACTAACGCTCACTGATGCTCTGTGTTTTCGTTCCTCCCCCTCAGGTATTGGCAGAGTGAGTCGGAGAGAGAAGGAAAGGGCCCCATGAGTACAGTGCTGCCCTACATTGCGATTTTCGGGCTCCTCACACCCTTCATTATTCTTGGGATTGCCTTCGCCAGTGGCTGGATCGATGTTCCAGCCAGGTAAACAGACACCTTGATCTCAGGCTCAAGCCCTGAAACGAGTTTGGTTCATATTGTGTACATGTGTTGTTAGGAATGGAAATGTATTGAAATGGGTGCGCCACTTTTCCACTCTAAGGCACTGTACGAGGTAGGTAGAGTGAGCAGCCAACAACAATAATGCTGCTGTTCATGCCACTTAACCACCCTCCTCACACTGATGCATAGTCAAGTGAGGAAAAAATTTGGACCCCCGGATCACCCCCAGATCACGGTAAGCAGAAAGTTTGCACTGTCAATGACGAAATAGTCAGGAAGCCATTGATCTGTGAACAGCCAAGGTTAGCAGACATACAACAACTAATTTGACCTTTAAGTCTGCCAAGAACTTTAACAACTCTCATGTGTGGAATGCAAAGGGGAGGAGAATCTCTGCATACATGTGTGCTTGCAGTGCAATGCAAAATCTCTTGCCGGACTACTGAGATGCCTTTGGGGGAATCTGATGCGTACCAGACCAATCATGCAATGTCATAGGGAAAGGATCGTCCATTCCACCATCTTTGAAAGGCTTGAAGCATTCTTACCTGTAAACACACATTGAGCTTACAGTATAACTCTACTTAAAACATGTATATTTGAAGTTACCAATAGCGAGGATTACCGCAATCCTCCTTTATTCGTCTCAAAACCTTGATAACCTTCTGCTTATCAAATGTCAAGGGCTTGAGCCGAGCACCCTTGCCAAAAACTAGATAATAATTCAGATCGCAAGCATGTGAAAGATGATGAAAACATGCGTTATCATAGTTGTCGGGACGAATCTCCAGTACTGTACCGTTAGGTGGCATAAATATCATATGGGACATCCCTGCACCATGCCCTGCCACTAGAAGACGCGCCTTGCTGAATAGGTCCCGAGCTGGCAGGAGAACAAGACAGAATGAGGAAGACAAAGAGAGAATCATATGGAGAAGGGGATGGGGGAAGTAAGGGGGTGAGGCTGAACGCTGATGCATCACAAAGAGCAAACGCAAGGCAAAGCGCAGAAACAGGAAAAAGAAAAACTTGAATGTAGGAACAGGACTTCATTTAAAGATATACACTGCAAGAACTTCAACTTACTCTCATGAACGCTCTGTGTGCCGTTGAAAACGTGGACCCTGCCCATCCCAAAAAGTTTCTGAACTGCCCCCAGCAGTTGCCCGAACTGCTTCATTGTCCTGCCCTTGGCCCCAAGCCGCTGCACCACCACCACTATCCAATCCCTGGGCAGCGGAAAAACCTTCGACCAATACCCCGGGTCTTGAACACCCACACTCGAATTACCCAAACCATCATCCGAACTGCCCGAAAAATTCCCCTGACCTTCGCCATGCGGCACATTCCTGAGCTGCCACCTGTCCTCATGAAAGTACGGCAAACCTTCGGGCAGGAGGATGTGATTATAACGAAGGGTACGCCAGATAGCGGCAGGTAAAGCTCCCTCACGTGGAAAAGGGCTCCCTCGGGAATGGCTAGGCGACGGAAAGACTTGGTGCTGACCCCGACTAGATGCTGAATGGTACGATGATAGAAACGCCACTGGCAGGAGGGATGGAGGAGAGATGAAGGGAGTGGGGAAACAGGGGAAGGGGAAGGCGGAGAGAAGGTGGAAAAGGGTTCCCTTGGGAATGGCTAGCCCTTGAGAGGGGTTTCTGCAGCCCTGGTAGAGCGGCAGGTAAAGCTCCTTCACGTGGAAAAGGGTTCCCTCGGGGATGGCTAGGCGGCGGAACGACTTGGTGCTGACTCCTAC